GTTGCATGCGCGAGCGTGAAGATTTTCCAAAGTCCCGCATGGATTTCGCGAGCAAAAAGCCGCCTTTGTGATCCAACGAGTAAATCGTCTTCAAAATCAGGAGAATTTACCGATAACGCCAGTATGTCTCCTTATGTTTCGATTCGCAACTCGCATTCGGGTCTCTTATTCGAGAAAGACATTTTCTTTCTTTCTCTCTCTTTCTTTGTCGCTCCCCCTCTCTCTCTCTTTTTCTCTCTCTATTTAATCCAACGCCATAAATCACACGTCGATCTCGCCGCGCCCAATCCGACGCCGATTCTTATTCGATTCTCGCGCGCGCAAGCTTGTACCGATCTTCGTCTCGCGTCCCGAAAAGCAATTACGTCGAAATTGTTCATCTGACGAACAACTTTCCGGATCGCAAAGATCCAAGCAAAGAAGACAAAATGAATTCTTCTGATCTTACCCGCACATTTTCAGCGTCTCATACTGCCGCGGAAGAAGCCGTGGTTCGAAGCCAGCCGTATTATCCGTCTTCTACTCGAGAATATGGAAAAAATGAAAAGCTCTCTGATTGGTCGCCCGATGTCGACCTGAAGCCGAGATGGTTGAAGTTACGAGCTTCATCGAAGATGTCTCACGAGTACGTATCTAATAGCGATATCTAATCAAAATTGACCTACATGCTTATCTTCGCGTGCAAAGATTTTCGTGGCTCCGTTGCAATGCAAAAACTTTTATAGAGTGTTTTTCATTTGGCGATACACAAATCGATACAAGCATCGTTTTAGCTTTGTTTCATATTCAGTGACAAAGATAGGATGATGCTTATTATTCAACTTGTGTCACTAATTGGAAAACACTCAATATCGACTTAATAGGTTCGCTACCACGGTTTATTTAAAAGTTTTTCCCCTCATGTCGTATTTTTGTTTTTGCTTTGTATGTAATTTTGTAAAACAAGCCTGATTTGATAATGTGGACGTAGGAAAACAAAAGGTATTTGTCGTCGTACGTATATATGTGACGTTGGCCTCTATACCGCAAACAATTTGTGCTAAACTTGGCACACTTTGCATACCCCGATTTATTTACCCTAATTTTTGTGTTAATTTAACACAAGGAAAATGTGTTAATAAATAGCACACACAAGTTATCTGTACATTGTACATACAAAATCGTCGGCCAAATTATAGAACTCCTTAATTCTAATTTTTTATAAAATTGCAGTATTCATTACATTCGATTTGGTTCGAGATTCTGCATCGTTGAAAAAATGTTTAAATATAAATTTTTCATAGAAAATTGAAAAATCTCGAAAAACAAACGTTTTAACTAAAGTTAAAATTCGTAGTTTTACGAAAGTTATCAGTTTTTTTGGTTCTCCTATAAAATTGGAATTTTGTAAGTTAGAAAGTTTCCTAATTCGTCCGACGATATATCACCAAGAATGTATGTGTTACATATAAATTGCGTTATATATTTCAACATTTAGAAATGGTGGGTATGAACTTAACGCAGAATAATCAAAAGAACACAATCACAGTATGTTAAATTAACATACATATTTTAGAAATTTAACAAAAACATTTCTGCATGGGTCGACTTCAACACAAATACAAAATATTTTTCACCGTGCAGTGAGAGATCGTTGCGTCATACATGTGTGACGTTGGTAACGAACATGTTAAATATTCGGAGGAAGTTCATTTCGAGACTTTCACGCGCGGAAATGACGGAAATAAAGTAAATAAAAAAATGCCAATTCCCGGACATTCCTATTATTTTGGCCTTGTTGTTTAAATATGCATTATTAAACACTTATTTAAATACGCTTAAACTCTCAATATAGAATATATGTATATATTCAATACATGTATATACAGTGTCCCAGTTCTCGCGACTTAAATTTATACCGACAAGTTGCCTGAGCAATTTAGAATTCTTCCTCATCGAAAATGTCGAGGGAGATCATTATTCATGGCGGCTTTTCAATTTCCAACATAACATATATTTTTAACTAAGATTTAAAGTAAAATTCTGTTATAAATAAAGTCCGTTTGAAATTAAGAGAGGAAAAGAGAGAGATTTTATTGTCAATTTGGCCGTTCGAAGTTCAGTCTGCAGAAAGCTCCACTTTTTCAATCGTTTGTGCCCTAGAAACTATTAGTGCCTCAGCGTTTTCGCTGAGGAAAGATTAACATTGTTCAGAGAATCTATCAATATATAAATTAAAATCGCGAAAGAAAAACTGGAACATCCTACGTATATATATTCCATATTGAAAATTTTAATATACGTATTTAAAAACCAAAACAATAAGAATATCAAAGTACGTATCCGAGTACTGGTATTTTTACCCATTACACGCCACGAAAAGAAAAATCTAATTCACAAATCTAACTCTAACGTCGTTTCCCACGACAAATGGGTTAGTTTCTCGCTGAAGTGTCGCATCGGTCGCGCCGCGCGATACCACAATGCCGTTCTTTCCTTTCGCCCTATATAAATAGACTCACCGCGAGACACCCACGCATCGACACGCGCATCAATCTGATTTTACAGTGCATTGTTATCGGGGACTCGCGCAGCGAACAGCCTCGCCATCGATCGTGCTTCATGCGAGCTCGCGCGAAGTGGAATTTATCTTGGGACTTGGCTCGCAAATATTTGTTAAAGGGGATGCATCTATATATACATATATACACATATATATACATTGTAAAAAATCTTGCGTACACAGCACGTAAGCAAATGTTCCAAAAAGTCTACTCTAAATTTTTTGTCGAAAATAATTCATTCGTGTTATTTACATTATGTATAGACTAGTATATAATATAAATAACACACGAATGAACATATGAATGAGTTATTTTCAACACAAAATTTAAAGTGAACTTTTTGGAACATTTGTTTACCTACTGTGTATGCAAAATTTTTTATAATGTATATATTGTTATTCACTCCTTTTATGTTAAAAAGGGCGCAGTTATTCGCGAAATTGCGGTTCGCAACGCTCTTCATCACGCGATATACGACTATACAGGGTGTCCCATTTTAAAAGATCCACCCTCATAATTCTTCAGCCAAGTATATTTAGCAAAAATGTTTCAGACAAAAGTTGTCGGGTTCAGAGGGGGATATCTGAAGGTGACCTCTTAGTTAACTTCTTAGTACTGCATTTTCTTGTATTTTCTTGAAGTACTAAGAAGTTTATAAAAAATTCTTAAAATATTCTTGGAGCTCTATAAGAAGAAAATAAACAATTTTTATCTCTTACCATTTTTCGGTAAAAGATTGATCGGTTATTGATAGAATTCGAGTAAAAAATTATTGAAACCAATAATTTTGTAGATATTTCCGTAAATATCTTAGAAAATGAAGGTCGTATAACAAATTTTTTCAAACAAAAATTGTTAGTTTCTTTACGTAGAATAAAATTCCGTGAGAAAAAATAAATGTTTTTATTTAAAAAGTAAAGTTGACTTTCGAATAACCTTCAGAATGACCTCCAAGGTCAAAGTCAAGGTCACCTTCAGATGTCCCCCTCTGAAACTGACAACTTTTGTCTGAAACATTTTTGCTGAATATATTTGACTGAAGATGGATCTTTTAAAATAAGACACCCTATATATCACGATACGTTATACTTTAACGGGCCGCATTAATGCAGCTTTTGCTTCACTAATAATAATTAATGATAACGTTACTTCTTCACAGGCGATTTATGAAATGAATACAGATTACGATAAAGCGGGGCTCGCGCATTTAAACGCCGACTATAAGCCGTCGCGCGAGTATTCAGTCGAGTGAGGAACAACCCTTTCTTCTCGCACTTGCCTCTCGTCCAGCTTGTTAAATTCACTCTGTGCGATTTGAATCTGCATTATTTCGGCAGTTTGCAATTATTTATGAACCGCCACTGATGTAATCCGCGTCACACAAGTCGCGCTCGTACGTGCCCGTAAAACACGACAAACGTCTAAAACTCAGGTGTACACGGACATCCGTTCCGTTGCTCGAATTTATGTCGTGTACGCGTGTGTATGCAGCGGCGTGACAATACTCGCCTACATGTATGCACAGGCGAGCGAAAATAGACCCAAGGGCATGGATCTCGCAACATGTCGGCTACGTGGATACCGAACGTGTCGATGATAAACGCTATCGCGTAGCAGAACATTTCGGGGTTGCACCACTTTTAACGTATCCGATCCTTTTACGACGTGCATGGTTTATCTTGTGACTCACACATGCACGAACACACACACACACACACATACACACAGCATCCCCGCGCGCTACTTTCCGCCAATGAGTCGCGGAAACGAAATTCGCGCAGGGAGCGCACAAAGGTGGATGAACAACAGAGAACGTAATTCTTTGCTGTCCGCGGGAAAAAAATTACGCGAGACCTTTATTGTAGCGTATGTTTTAATTGCTCATCATACCAGGCTAATTACAAGACGCATAGCAGGACACAATCAGTCGACCGACACAAAGAGTCCGATTTCAGACGACCAGTGTAGAAATTACCGGTGCGCCCTCGCATGGTATGCAGAGGAAAAAGTTTCGCAAATAAGACGCAGTCACGTTAATCATATAATTACAGCGCGAACATAGTGCGCGATGTCGCCCTATGACGAGTCCATCGATTCCCCTTTTACATTCCTGAACCGTTTTAATGAACTTTGGCGAATTGTAAGGAAAACAAAAACACGCACGGAACTTTATCCCGTAATTGTAGCTGCCTGTTGAAGCAAACGCGCGCGAGTGTCCTGTCGAGCGAATAATTGCGAGTCACTCCGTAGAGTTTCACGTGTAAAATCCGTCGGTAGAAGCCGGGGAAATCTGAATTACATCGAAACGCACCAATATCTCTCCCGCGAGTGAAATAAAGTCTCCTGAGCGAGCGAGGCAGCCACATTCCAAAGAACGAGCCATCGGCATGCCATATCGTTTCGCTCAGGGTGTCGCGGTCTCGCGTCGATAACGAGCGGGTAAGCGCCAGTGCGTACCTGCACGGGTCCCAGATGAGGCCTCCGGGGCAGTCCTCATTGGTGAGAACGTCGCACTCCAGCGGCGAGCACACACACGAGAGAGCCCTCGCGACCGCGAGCGACAGTACAACAATGCCGCCCAAGAGGAGCAACGGGGCCCTCATTTTGCTCTCGACGGCCCGTCGCTCGCCCGTCGATTTGTCCTCCTCCTCCTCCTCCTCCCCTCCTCCTCCTCGAGCACTCCTGCTTGTGTCTTCCTGGCACGATTATGAACCGAGCGCGGGGCTGTTCATCGCACTCTCTTTTTCTCTCTTTCTCTCTCAGTTCGTCCCACTGCGATTCACGTCATTCAGTTGCATATCTGACCCGACGATTCGTTACACACACGCGCACGACCCCGTGGTTCTCCTTTTCTACGAGATGTTCATCGAGAGGATCGCGATATTCTCGCGTCCGCGTCGTTGGGTCCGGGAAACGTGAGGGTGAAAACACACGTTTTCTAACTACATTTCACCGTTCGCAGCTCGCCGGAGTGTCGCGTGCACCCATTTCACCGGAATGACGTCCGGGCGAGAGGATAACGATCGTGACGTTACGTCGTCGGCAGGACGCCGTGCGTTAATGATAAGCTCGGGGTCCCAGGGAGAGATCAAGTAACTACGAACGAAAGGTGGAGATGATGAAGTGGGAACGAGCAGCTTACACGTCCGCGCAATGCCGCTTTGCAGAACGAGTCGCTCGCAGGCGTCGTATCGCCGCGGGTGAAACTTTTAATCGGAAATTGCGTGTCGCAAAGACGGGCGCTCGTTTTGCGACGCGTCGGAACCGATTTCGCCGGATTCACCGACCGGGGGAGGAGGAGGAAAAGGAGCCAAACATGAGATATTTACAGCGTGGAACGAGTTAAACACGTCTCAAAAGCTCAAGGTAAACCAAGTCTGAATGCTTCAAAGGCTGCACTCGACGGACGGGTGTGCAATAGTATTTTCACGTCGCTAAGAAATCTCGGATTATCCACGTATATTGAACACCGCGCGCTTTCCCTCAAAACACTCCTTCCCTGCTTTGAGCAACGAGTGGAAATGTCGCAAAAAATTTCCGACGGACGAACGACGTTCGGCAGCGCAGGAGACGCGTCTATCAGCGAGCAGACATTCTCGAAGCACCGATTCGAAGGACCAAAACGCCCGTCGGGTCCTCGCAGTGCGGTGAAACTCGAGACTGACGGGAGGCCAGTGTCATTGCCGCTTTAGAAAACGGAGCAGTCTACAACGTCGAGCCGCTCCGACGGCACTTGGACGAGGCAGTGCGCGGGACTCGTGGAAGTGGGCGAGCCAGCTCGTCGTCGACGAACGAGGAGAGCGCACCGTGAAGTGCACACACACCCGTCTGTAGACAGAGCACAGCTCGTCCCAGGACAGCGGCGGCACGCGCGCTACGAGACGGAACTCGTGAAGGAGCCGTGAAGCAGCGGGCGAGCTCTTTTGCGTTTAGATTACACACGCGACGCGCGCGTCGACTCGCGCGGGAACGCGCGACGAACGTCCGCATCGGCGAGGGAGCTGCACTTGGAGATACGTCGGTAGCGCGGCAGAAGAGGACGCGAGACGTGCATCTCCCGACGGATGCATCGACTGTAACAGGAGCCGCGATGTCGACGCATTATGAAAACATGCGCGCGAGTGCAGTTAGCTGGAGAGTGCCAGTCTCTGGGCTGGCTCCTCAACGCTGTGCGCTGCACCGTGCAGTCTATCGCGCGCGCGTCTGAGAGAGGCTTCGTGAGATTTTCATCTCCGCGGGGAAATTCCGGGGAGAAATGATTTTTAATAGCAACAAGTGCGCGAGCGATATAACGCGCGGTGAGAAGACGTCGCGCTGGAAACTCGCAGCGTCGAGTGATGCGAGCTCGAGAGTCTCCCGACGAGATCCTTTGCAAACAGGATACCGTGTTCACATGACCAGCGCCCGTTTGTCCGTTCGTCCGTCGTCTCGTATGGAAGGACACACGGTTGAAATTCGCGACACGGGAGTACCAACCGCGCACGAACTGTTACACGCACTTACTGCAAGGAATTAACGTGTCGCACCTGTTGTTGCAGGACCGTGTTACAGGTCGTACGCTCGCACACCGTTCAACATATCGCCGACTACGGCGTTGCCTGTCGAATCGGGTCGCGATCAGCGAACTCGAACTTCCGTCGAGTTCTTCACAGACAGAGATGCACGGGCGGTCGGAGGCGCGCCAGTGTGAAACGTCAACGCGTCGACGGTGTTAGGGGGAAGAAAAGGGAACCAGAACTATCGCTGCCATCGGGGAACGGTCTGGGAGCAGATGCGATCGATCTACGGAAACTTTCGCCGCAACGCCGACGACGGCCGCGACGACTCGCATAGTAATCGCGCGACGGTGTTTCCTCTCTTTTTTTCCCTCTCGTCCCTCGCCCCGTTCCCCTCGTCACGCACGTCGTGCCGACATCGTGTGCCGCACACAGTCTCTCTCTTTCTCTTTATATATGTGTGTATTTTTTTCTTTTTTCCTTTTCCCGAGAATGTCAGCGCTCAGACGCCGCGACGAGAAGCCACCGACGAAGCCACGCGAAGCGCTCCGCGTTCAAGGCGAACGTGCACTGCTGGTGGCCGTGATGATCAGCGTCTCCGAAGCGGCGCCGGGCGCCGTGACGCGACGCGGCCCGCGTCGGCGCCCTGACACGACGGCCGCCGTCGCCGCCGCCGTTTTCCCGCAGGTAAATTTTCCCATTGCTCACCCTCCCTTCCTTCTCTTCCTCCCTGTTTCACTCATTCCGAGTCCAGTGTATGATTTTTAATTGGTGATGTAAAGAGTTAATTAACACAACCGCAGTTACATGCCGCGAATTTGTACCGCCCACTGCTGTATATTACAGCGTCGATATTGTCGGTAAGCAAGTCGAAACGACGGACAATAACAGCGCAATTAACAATAATCGCAAAGCCGACGATTAGTCTGTGAATATCAACCGGTCTTTTTTCTCTCTCTCTCGTTTTATTTCCTTGTCCATTTTTCTTTTCTTTTCTTTCTAACGTTTCATCGGTAACACCTCTGTCGTCGAGGAAACTGGCCTTTATGTCTCAAAGGAACACTGACGCCACGCGACGGAAATAACGGAGGCATAATTGCAATTAAAGGTAATCATCCACCGCGCTTTACATCCCAGCTCGTTCTTGTCTCGGTGGATTCAACGTGTAATTATATGTTACATGATCCGCGTAAACGATTATTTAACGACGCCAAGCGAGACAAAGCAAACAGAACGGAGAAGAACGGAACGATCTTTATAAAGGCGATCTTGATATCGGAAATTGTCGGTAATGACGACGGCACGGGAATTACGACGAGGTGGCCGGCGAATCGTGCGTTGTCCGAACTAAGAGGAAACGAGCACAAAACACGATGACATTTCCGCGTCTTACACGTTGTCTAATACCACGTAATATCTCGCGGATGAGTCGCGGATCCTAAGTATGATAAATGTTCACGACAGAATGGCGTGCGGTCTCTTCACCCTCTGTCGCGGGATGATTTTTCTCCTGTGCACGTGTTATGTGCTATAACTCGCCCCTAATGCCTACAGAATGGCGGTCATTGGTCATCAGGACCTTTTCTTTTCCATTGTACGTTGTATGTAATGTAGTGTATTCGTAAGGGATGCGCCGCTACTCAATCATTCGAGTGCCAGAAGCGCTTTGTTAACAAGACTAGATCTAAAGTCATTCCGTGAAATGAAGTGAAAGCACCAATGTCCGGCTGTGTCTAATCTTAGGTATTCTTAATATTTTGGCCTTTAAATATGAATATTTCAGCTTTCAACATAAAATATATACAGGGTGAATCTCACCTAGATTATAGATTTTCTAAAATATCTCTATTGTCTTCTATATTAGAGGAAAATATGTAAGGAATAAATTGTGTAATTGCAAGGGTCGGCCACGATATTTAATTCTCCCAGTCACACAATTTATTTTTTATTCATTTTTCTCTAATATAAAAACAACAGAGATATTTTAAAATTTAATATTAGATATGACTCACACATTGTATACATATATTGAATGTGTGTGTGTGTGTATATATATTCTAAATTTAAGTATCTATATTTATCAAAACAATATGTGCCCGGAAATTGATACGTTTGCCTTAACACAAAACGAAATTCTCGAGGGCGGACGAGAACAATAACTCGTAAGGTTTTATATTGCTCAAAATGATATATACGGCGTGTTTATTGTAGCGTGTTCCGTCCGTAAACGTAAAACGTGTTTCATCGTCCCTTATCTTGACGGATATTAAAGACGGAGCAAGAATATCGTAAGGAAAAGCACTTCTATTAAGAAAAAAATTAATTCGCCCATAATATTCACAAAATCCCTGTTCTAATCCCGTGTCATTTTTTCTGTCCCTTGTACAGCTTAAGACATGTGATCATGAAATTGCTTAAGACGACCAATAAATAAAATATCTCAAGATAAAAATTCCTTAATTAAATATATCACTTAAATAATTATGTAAAACTAATTGTAATCGTAAATTGTTATTACGATTTATGTATAACATGAAAAATTTAATATAATAATATATAATACATACACACCAATACGCGCGCGCGCACACGCACACGCACACACACACACACATATATATATAAATCCGTCATATTCCGATTATACCGAGAAGAAAAATATTGAAAAAGTATTAAATATTTATTTAATGGGTAATAAAAAATAATAAAAATAATAAATATTTTTACTTAAATCTAGATTCTTTTATTTAAATAGAATAAATAATTGTTTTCATATAAAGTTAAGGTTCTCTCTTTAAAAAAATATATATATTTTATTATTTTAAGAATATTTCATTTATTGGTAGTACAGTAAAAAAATATGTTATTAGTATACCTACAAAATAAATATTTACTATTTCTATGATATTTTTTCTCTCAACGGACAGTGTCACACTATTTGATTTTGATTCGAATCGATCTTTCCATCAATCAATGATTTCGTGAAAGATACAACGAGTAGAAACAAAAAATAGTTACAAGTATGATAATATTAGGATATTGTTATTTACCGACCTTCCCTTCGATGAGACAAAAGCGTAGGATGCAGCCGTTTGAACTCCTTCGTACCGCCATAACTTGGCGAATGCGCGACATTCCACTCGACACTCACGACAGCTCGTTCCGTGAGATATTCACTTTCAATCATTGTATCGTGCGAGACTTACTTTCGACACTCCCGGCGACGATAATTCACACGTGGAACTCGCATCCGGCGAGTCGACATTGCGGCACACATACAAAACGGCTTCTCGAATCTATACCGCCGCGCCATGATGTGTCCTGTACACATTGAACATAGCTGCACTTGTCCACTGATGATTGCGATTCTCGAAATATTGTAAGTGCTGCCGCGTGCGGCACCATCGTTTATCACCCGATCGCAACGACTCATTTATTCGCTAAAATTGGCGCGATCTGAGGTACGCAAGGTACTCGAAATACACGGGAAAAAAGCTTGGTTAGATAAACGAAATTCCCGGTAAAGTATGAACGAAGCAGAAATTCCGCTTAAAGTTAGCGGAATTTCGTTCAAATTAAAAAAATTTCTGATTAATTTGGACGACATTCTGGTAGCTTCAGCCGGAATGTTCCTGTTCGTTTATATCTCACTAGAAAATCTAACTTATCTTTTATGTAACTCCGATATGAGAAATAGATCGACGACATCGTCACGACAAAAGCTCGGTACGACAAACGCGAAAGAGATCCGACGTAACCTCGCACAAGTAATGTTAATAACGTTACGTTTAGTTCGGCGAGATATGCACTCTCAGAGGCTATTTGAGGGTATTTTGCTACGACAAGCGCATGAAACTCACTTTCGCCACTTCTGACGATGATCCCTGTGCGACACCTCGTCGGTCACTCAAAAGAGCGAAGGGCAGCGGTTTGAATTTGGAGTCGAGATAACCGTAACGAACGGACGACGCTCACTCGACGTTACCAAAGCCATGCTCCGCGAAATGTCTCCTTACGATGACTGTTTAACGATACTTCGTCGCGACAAATGCACGGAACACACCTCCGGCACTCCCGGCGGCGATCATTCACGCATGAGACTCGCATTCGGCAAATCGACATCGCAAGACACCCGTTTTTCCGAATCCGTATTACTGCACCATGATGTGTCTCGTAGCTGCATTCGCAGCAGTGATTGCGATTCTCGAAGTGCTGTAATAACGCCGTGCGCGCACACTCGATTGTAATGACTCGTTTATTCGTGAAAATTGCCGCGATCCGACGTGTATTATGTACGCAAGATACTAACAGTCTCGTTATAACAGCTAAAAACCTGTCCACATTAACATCGTGTTATTATTAAAATGTTGCTGTAATACTTCAGTAACCCTTATAGAAATATCATACTAAGAATCATTGATAATTACTTATTATCCAGTATTTTTAATACTGAAAATAAGTAATTATCAATGATTCTTAGTATGATATTTCTATAAGGGAAATAAAACCTTTTTTTTGCATGGAGACAATACTGCAGTAATTTTCTCTGTCGGAGAGCAGCACGTTAACACTACTAAAATATTAGCTACATCGCTACCGCGAACACACACACACACACGCGCGCGCGTCCTTAGCAATGTAATTAGAAGCTTCTTAAGTTTATATTGTTGTAATAGTTCTATGCTATGTGGGCGACGTAACCTCACAACCGGCACTGACACCGCCAACGGTCGGTTTTGCGAGATATGTTATATCACAACTTCGGAACGACAAACGGACGAAACTCACTTTCAATTCTTCAGCGACGATACGTGCTCCCTCGGTTTACTCGAAGGAGCGTAGGGCAGTGATTTGGACCACGAGTCACCATAACCGTAGTCAACGGACGACACTCTGCTCGGCACTCCTGGAGCCACACTTCGTGAGATGTCCACTTACGATGGTTGTTTAAGGATACTTCGTTGTGCGGAACTTACTCGCAGGACTCGCTCTCGGTGAGCCGAAACCACGGAAAGTATCGGAATATCTTATCGAACCGGCACTACCATGTCGCTACCGTTCTGCAACTGACGGAAGTATAGTAATTAAGTTTCTCGAAATCGATATCGATACACCAGACGCAGCGCTCCACTCGTGTGATAGGCGAATCTCCCGCTCTTATAGAAATATCATACTAAGAATCATTGATAATTACTTATTATCCAGTATTTTTAATACTGAAAATAAGTAATTATCAATGATTCTTAGTATGATATTTCTATAAGGGCGGTTGGGACGATTTGATTGTTAATTGTCCAAGCAGAAGTATGCAAAATATTTTAGAGGCTTGATATCTGAAATATGAAAATAAAGTATCTTATGAAAGAATGCTATTGAAGGTTGAGCATTACGAATAATATAGAAGAGTACTCCCTTATAGAAATGTAATACTGATAAGTAATAATTTGGCCAGTGATAATTACTTATCAGTATTACATTTCTATAAGGTTGAACCTCTAGAGTTGAGAAGCTTATAATAGAAGAATAGAATGTTTGAAAAGTTTTGTGCGTATATACATACGTTTTCCATTAATAATGGGATGAAACGGAGAAGCAGATTAGTTAAGCAAACGCCAAGCATATCACACAATCCTTTCTTTCTTTTAGATTAAAGTTCGTTAATTACATCAGCATATTACGGAATATGCAATGCCACCTAGCGAGATTATCAAACGCGGCTGATGTAGCCAATGGACCAACTAGCGCCATTTAGCGGTGCTCGAAAAAACCCAAATGATAGAAGGTTAGGTTAGGTTAGGTTGAGTTCTACCGATAAGTTGAAGTTATAACATAATTTAGCAGTGAGATAACTGTAATTTTATTGCTACGTTCAATAGAGAAAGCTGCTTAGCAATTGTCATAAGATTTGTGAATCTGATTGCTGTATGCTCTTAATCTTGGCTGATCTGAGAACATATACCAATCAGATTTATAAATTTAATACAGCTTTCTTTGGTGAACACCATACTATTCTCAAGTAGTACGACTCGATGATGCATCGGACAATCTCCCATTTTTTAGTAGTACGACTGAACAGTAGATTGAATAAACTTTGATTTATATTTATTAACGAAAAATATAAAAAGTTCTTTGCCGTAATAAGTTTTATTACTAAAAAAATTGTCCGATCTATTAGAATAAAAAATTGAGAAAATAATCAATTATTAAACGAAAGCGAACATCGACTCAACAGCCGATTATCATTCACTTTCGTTACCCGCCAAATAATAAAAGTGAGGTTATGAATCCTATAGTAGATTGTGTTATAACAAGCCATTCGAATTGTAAAGTGTTATATATTTATTTTTAGACACATATGAAGCATGCTTGAAGATTTATAAACAATTTTGGGTACAATAACGACATTCAACATGGATGTTGCTCCAATGGGTAATTTACCGTAAGTACATATACAACACTTTGCTTTCAAATTTTAAAAAAGCAAAAACATTTCCTGTTAATATTGTTTCATTGTGATTTTCATATTCATTATTGTGTGATAATTTTATTTATTCGTAAAAATAAACTTAATAATGATAATTTATAAAAAGTTGTAGCAAGGAATTATGGTCCATAATATCAGGCACAACATGTTGTTGTGCTAGTGATACAGTCGAAGATGAAATAAAGAATAGTACTGTAATACTCAAAGAAGGACTACAATTTTTCAAGCCATACACAGAAGAATCATTGCAAAGTATTTCCAAAAAAAATCCTCCTCCTCTCTCCCAGATGTACGGTTTGATTAGTAAACTTGCTCCACTTCTTGTAAGTATATGTATTCTATATTTATATATAATTGTATATTACATACAATATATATATTTCATTTTTATTACAACAAAATTTTTATATAATACTAAATTTTTATATAATAATACTAATTTTATAATCTTCCTACTAGAATTTAGATGTTGCAATTACTTGGGATCTGGTATGCAATTTTGTATCCTATGAATATAGAAATTGTGCAGAGACTTTTGCATCACAGCTCTCTGATCTCACATCCATGAAAATTCTAATTGATGATATTTGGAACTTTTACTACTCTGAGAGAGTGACCTTGATTAAATGCCTTAAACTCATGATTGAATATAAAAATAACGAGAGACATCCCCATCATAAGGAATTTGCAAAGTTTTTTGATAAAGTTTTGATGGGAGATTTGCTAGAGTCTGTACGAAAACAGATAGAGTCATTAAAGTTCGTAAATCCACCTTTACGATCGCCATTATGTACAGAAGATCATTTGCATAGATTATACAATAGCACTCTGATTGAAATACGTGAATTACTTCACATACTGACTGTGATTGTACATGATATACATATTACTGATAACAATTTCCCCAAATTCTATGGAAGTATCGGGGTAAGATTTTAAAATTCCATATTCTATATATTCCAAAGATCTTGCTTAAATGTCACTGCACAATAAATATGTTTTAGGGTGAACCTAGACGATTAGCAAGTACAAAGAGTCATGAGGACAAGGAAGCTATTACTAAAAAAATTGAAGCAATTCAATTCAGTCAGGTAGCCTTACTGCTTGTAGCCTTGGATATCAGGAAACAGTAAGTCGACTCAGTGTTATTTTACATAATTGAGATTTAACTTTTATTTGTAACTTGTTTATGCATGGATTCTTTATTTCATTACTTCATCCAACATTATTTCAGTACTGCTATGGAAGACTGGATAAGTAGCGTGAGAAGCAACATGCAAGAAACCTTTGAACACAAATGTGTCCGTGAAAGTTTACCGCAAGACGGACCCTTGCTTCTGTCATGGATGTTAGCTAATTATGCAATTGACCCAGATAATATAGATATATTAAACCGCGTCCGACCTTTCGGTATCAAAGCCATACAGCTCGATGTGTTCCACTATCTGAAAGATTTAATGAATTCTGAAATGATTCAAGAAGATACTCACTATGCTGAAGTGGCGCGGAGTAGCGTTTACAATCTTCTCACTTTAGTGTGCGCCTTCGTTGATGAAGATCGACTAAGCGATTTAAATGGTATCTTTGATGCGATGGCTGCTACTGTCAAATTTCCAGAATGTGCAACTCGATTCTGGGACGAGCGAAACGACGGTTTGTGGCCAATTTATAAAGTTGCAGTCGAATTATATCCCTACAAGTTTGAGCCTCTAACTAGTATAGCTATCGGCCTGGCATCCACGACCGTTGCAAGTGCCAAAAAGGTAACATCAATTATATGCATCAAATTTGTTTTACTAAATATTCATGTGTGAAGCATGGGATTTATAATTTTTTGCTCACATAGATCGCCTTGGAATTGGACAATCTGCCATCATTGACTATAGAGGTTTCCCGCCAAAGAGATTACAGCAAACCGTTACAACCGTACGAAATGGAATGCAAAATTCAAAAGAACTCCTTTACCATACCAAACAATTGCGTCCGCGAGAACATCTTCGTGCTGTCGAATGAAAAAGAAGTGGTTTTATTTCGCATAAAGGCGAACTATTGGGATGCCTTGCATCATAAGATAGAACAGTTATTTTCTCAAGCAAGTGGCGGAATTGCAAACATCAGCGCAGTGATGACCGATTTACCGGAGGACGTTTGTCAAGGTTTGAAACTGTTGGAAGCAATACTGGCCAAAGACATGGAAATACCGTTGAATATGGTAACTCCCACGGAACTGAGTTTCGAAATTGTTAATCGGTTCTCTTATCCGGTCCTACCGACGAATTTGTACAGAATTGTCGCCGTATGCATTAGTCTCTCGTCCAAGTTGGTTTTGAGATATCCTGAGGACGTTCTACGAATGCGGTCGGGTATCTATCCGAAATTTAACAACTGGTATCAAAAACCAGCGGATTTCGCGGAAGCAATCTCCTTTGACGGTGGCCTTGTGGCATCCTGGCTTTCAGGGATAGAAACCATCGAACACACTTATCCTATCCTTCGTGCATTTCTAGACACACTGTACAATTACTTAATCGCCAAACACAGTAAAGAGGCTATGTATACGATCGAGATACCGGGTATGGTGTTTCTGCTGCAAGGTGTGTTACCCAAATTGGATTCATGGTACTTCGAGTCGAACGCAGAAAGGATCGACTTGTGGCTGAAAAGTATGTTCTGCATCCATCGCGCTCTGGACTCGACCTTACCCAAGAACGACATCCGCAACGAGCTACAACACGTTGTAGTATATAGCCTGCTTTACTTGGAGCCGCGTCATGCCCTGCTGAAGTTAATCCGGACGGGTGAGCGCACATTGCACAACAAAATGATAACAGAGACAGATTGGATCAGCGGGAAAGGATTCAAGACTACCAAGAGCGTGGAACTAGCTCTATCGATAGTGAATAGACTGTTGATGTTCAGGAAGTCCCTGGGTATAGAACGAGGCGATAGATCGCCTCTCGAGATCGCCTTATATTCCTCCCCATTAGTACCCAACGGGCTCTTGATAGTGCCAACCATCGTCAATTACCTGTACGTTTGGTTCAGTCCTTCGTTGCAGAAAATGGCGGTCAGATTATTGAAGAAGTTCGCCGAAGAATTCTCTATGTCGCTACTCGTCTGCATGGGAATGGACGGCACATCTATACGAGAGACCTTCGCGTTTCGGTTGACGTTGCCGACATGTGCGATCGAAGTGAAAGTCGCCATTCTGGAATTAGTCGCCGTGTGTTTGGAGAAGCAACCTGGTTTAACGGAAGCCTTCTTCAATATCATGCACCAAGCGGAATGCAAGAGGATTTTCCCACGACCGGCCGATGAATTTCTCACAGAGGGCTGCAGCCAATTCTTGGACTCGTATTTAGAACGAATGTACAAGGAAGACGATATCGTGTGTGACAAGTTGTATGATAGCACAATGACAGTGATGCGCGCTATGTGGTATCATAGGAACGAGATCCTCGTAAATTTCTTTCGGAAGCGAGAGAAGTTCTGGAGCTATCTGTTCGCGCCGCTCTTCAAGACTTTGGTGCCCGGCGCGAAAGGTTATTCCCAATTGTTGGATATAATCACACTGGAATTGTACAAGAGCCCATTGCTTGAGAATAATTTCTCGAAAAATTTGAAAGAGCTTTTGGATAAATCTCAAGATTATTGGAAGAAGTTAGCAATGTATGTCCTCAATATCTCAAACGATGAACACAAGACCGAGGAAGATTGTACGAGGCAAGACAAACATATAGATCCGTTATACGAAATCAATTTAGAATCATGGTATCACTTCATCGTTATGCTCACCGACGATCGAACGGCCAAGAACTACCCAATCAACGTGTCGCAGGCGCATCTTCTGAGTCAACTGGCCCTGGACTCCTTGTTAGAGCGAGTGAAGGAACCTGACGATTCCAGCAGCGGCAAGATTCCGATGTTGTTGGCTTCTTTGTCTCTAAGATGCATCACATCTTGGAAACAGATGTGCGTCGGTGACTCGAGGATTTTCAAGACCAGATTATCACAGCTCACGCAAGAAGTAGCTCAGACTTATCGAGGCTTCGGAAAGGCTTTGCGACAGACATTAATCTCGTTACTCCTCGGTTGTGTGCAGCTAGTGAAAAGCACTTTAGCCGAAGACTCGGCAAGTCTTGAGTATCTTTTGGCACATTCTTGTACGATCGCTTTCAGCGAATTGGAGGAACTGAAGGACGCCGCTCGTCAATTGGAACACCGAAAGCAACAGCTCTCCGTCGATCTGAAAACCGACGAGAAAGACACACAGAAAAAGGTCGACTACAACAACGCGGAGACGCTCCGTGGTATGCGAGAGAGTTTACCAGCAACATTATCTATCTGTTTGGTGACGCAGTTGTTGCGTTCTTACGTCGAGCGCAGTGCGAGCTCCAAGCATTGCCGAAGAGCCAACTGCGTGCAACTTCGTCAAATGATACCTGAGCTGATGGCGTGCGTTGGTAACACTCTGCAAAAATACCCGTATCTGAAATTCAGCACAGCTGCCTTGAGTTTACTCGGTGTAATCTCGCGTTCCCCATACTGTCCACATCCTATTAACGACAATGACATCACGAAACTGTGGCTCAGCTTAATTCCGCCGACGGACATTGCTAACAGCATGCTCGACTCGTTATACGACGATTCGGCAAACGGTCGGTGGCGTTGTCAAGATTGGTGGCCGCTCTATACATTGGGTCTAGAATTTCTTATCGGTCTGGTCACCAGCGAAACGCACATGGTTTACGCTGACCACGTAGCCCTGTTCTTGAATTCCCACGAGTATCAACTGATGGTCGTGTCCACATTGTTGAGACACACCGCCGATCTGTTGGCCGCCGATCTAATACAGTCGCTGGTCGCCCTCATTCATGCTATAGCCACGCAAACGTACATTTGGAATGCGATTCAGCCGAGTGTACGTGAGACGCTCATCAAGTGTATGTACTTGGCTTATGATAGCACGGTGAATTTGTTGCTGAGACCGCGGATACTCAAATTCATCATCGACGGCATAAGCGTGGAGAGCGCCGAGGAACTCGAGTCCTGTGACAATCGACTGCCAAGCGGTGAATTGAAGTTACTGGTAAACAAGCTTATTGTTATAAACACTACTTGCGCCCTGACCTTCGTCCACTTTTCGCCGAAGCTGAACACTTTGGTGGATACGATATACACGCAAGATTATTGGTACACACCGATGGCGGAGATGAACTTTGGACCACCGCAGATGAGCATGAGTTCTGGTCCGCAGCTCACTTACGGCACAATCATCAGCTCGACTCAACTGTTCACTCAGGCTCTCCATTCTCGTTCGCAGCCGACCGCTTCATTACCGGTTTCTTCGTCGTCTACATCGCAGTCCGGACGAGAGGATAAAACGGATTCTGCAAAGAAGGAGTGGGAACGTGCTGCACCGGAAAATTTACGGCGTATGCATACGAGCAAGGATTTGCGAAGGATCATTCACGCGGCCTCGGGATCTACATCCAGGACATCTGCCAGTATCGGTGGAGAATTCTTGGGATACGTCAGTGGCTTGGATGTTACTGTACCGTTGCTCAGCAGTCCTAGATTGGTACGTCGCCCATATGATCCACTGATATGCGAAAACACTATCCTTTCGAGAGCGACCGCTTTGGCAACCGGCAGACACGTCACCAAGAGCAGTGGCAGCGGAGCTGCCGGCGCTGGTAATGGCAGTCCGAATATAGCAAGGAACCACAGGTTTAGCGATCCATGGTTCGAGTCCATGGATGAAAACAATACACGTCTGGCATTGGAGATCAATCTCATCCTGATATTGTCCCAAGCGCTGGAAGGAGTCAAAAGTCCTAGGCTCGCTTTACGCGATCGTCAGCTCATAGCACGGGAGACTGCTACGGAGTTGGGGGTCTTTTTCGATTTCCTCGAGCACCGGGGCACTCCCGATATCTGGCAAGTGAAGGGTTCCTTGATAGATGCGGATACCAAGAGTTCTAGGACGATTCAGAGCACAGGAAATTTGGTACAAATGTATCTACCAGCGAGACTTCAAGAGAACAGTACTATTGACAAAGCACCGGTGTGTCAATCCGATCTTGATGATTCTTCGAGTACGGAAATGACCAGTAATGAGATACGAGAGAGGAGACTCGACGACAATATCCTTACTACCGGTGCGTTTAAAGCAAACGTTAGTAGTGTGCAGTTCTTACCGTTGATGGGGAAGTTGCTGAAGACGGTCGTGGAGTCGTTGGACTCGGCACAATTCCGATAACAGTAAGATCGTACCCTTTGAATATAGAAGCTTACAATATACAGTTTATCTCGAAGTGAAATTTTGACATTGACAGTAAAAGTGCTCAATGTGTGTGTGTGTGTGTGTCCAACACCGAGTTGGACATTTTGGAGTAACATTTAAATTAGTACATAAATTTTTGTTGCCACACATATTACATTCTTTATGTAATTTTGGTAAATTCGCGCGGTACAGTTGGTTATTTATGTATTACTTTTGCGAAAAACGGCGTATTACAAGATAGATGTTATGAACGATAAAATTGTAATAAATATATCAATGACTCTGTTATATCATTCGTGCATCGAAATACAAACATTTTATTCACATGTGGAAATGACCGGATATTTAGAGGAGAGCAACATTAGGGAGAAGGAGGAATATAAAAAATATGAAGAATACGATATTTTTAATTTAGCGTGTACTTTTATATCAACACTATTTATAAATGATTGAACATAAAGCAATGCACATATCCAGTAAATTAGAAATGTTTTGTGATCCTTAAATAGTTTCTAGGAAAATGTGAGAATATAAACTATATAATTTTATACACAGCCAACTACACTTAACGATGGACAAAACGAATCATTAGAACCGCCAATTACGCGCGTTCTTTACGTTAAAATAATGATGATTATGTTTCTATTGACTCTCACTTAATTCAACCGGTTCCAATGATCATAGAGTTTTGTATTTTACGGAATGACAAATTGTTTCACAAGGGAGATTTCATGATTGTTATAAATATACTGTTGATCTGAAAAGACAGACACGCTTTTCGACAAGTTGCATCGTGATCAATTACGTAGTACAATAATCTATCTACATAACTTTTCACACGCGGTATGTAACACTATTCTACCCCTCCACTGACCCATCTACATTTTCTCAACAAGTTTTTTCGAGATATATCTTCCTTTCCTATAGAATATGTATGTATGGAGACAGAGAGGAGAAAAATAGAAAGAAAGTTTTACAGTGACTCGCGTCTTTTATTTCTTGCTTCTTCAACTATTGTACCTTTCGTACAGTGACATGTTCTCGAACCTCATCGTGCGTCTCTCCAATTTACGCACCACTGTACACCGCGCACTCACGCTAAGGACGATTGATAATCATATTACGATACGTATAAAAATATAATCCTTGATATTAACGAATATTATGCGTTACGACAATAGCGATGGTGTGAGTGCCGAGTTAGGCACACCTCGCAAGGACATCCGCCGCCTTTCAGGTTGAACACCTGAAGGTCGGGTTAGACGCTAAGGAGGCAGATGAGGTAAAATGTTCTCCGGCGAGGGCGAGTCATGGGAATCGTTGCTCCTGGACGACGTCACTCGCTGATGGTAATAATTGTTAGAGACTGCGGCGGCGGTGCTGGCGGTGGAACTAGTGGTAACTGTGTTCATCGAGCTGACAGATGTGACCGCCGCTGCAGACGTGCTGGCTGTAGTGGTATTGATCGTAATCGTCGTGATGACGGAGGAGGTAGCTTGAGTTCGAGACGCTGTAGCAGCATTCCATATCAGCGAGTTCGCACAGTCAGACTCAGACGAAGAGCTGTCCGGATGACGAGTAGATGACGGACAGTACGATGTTGGTGTGTTTAAAGCATTGGAACTGCATAGAGTTGAGGAAATGGTGGTCGCAGCGGACGTTGCCAGAGGTGGTGGCGGCGGAGGTGGCGGAGGTGGAGGCGGCGTGGGACCATTGATGTCTGCCAGAGGATCAACAGGGTTGCCATCCCAAGTCTCGGATGATTTGGTCTCGTCGTTGTTGGTGACGTTGACGTTGGACCTCTGCCGCTTGGCGTCGCCGTACAGCAAGTAATTAACGTTCGGCGAGCTGCTGCGATCTCGTACCCCCTCCTGTTCCTCGAGGAATCGGTCCATATAGTCCCTGCTTGCGATTCAATGGTTCTGTCATTCATGCTTGCAGTAATGGCAACGAGAAAAAACAAATTATATTGTACAAATGTACTATTTATCACCAGATTATTTACAATACTAGATATTTAGCTTTCCTAGTCAATCTTTCTAATACCTGCAAACATATATGTTATCTGATACAGTAAAAAACTCTTTGCGAACGTACAGAGTTCAGGAAAGAAGAAATCGTGATGGAAAAGATACTCACGTGATACCAGGATGTAGCGCGTATTTTTTCTTTTCTAATCGAGCTTTGTACGTGAATATGTCATGTCGCTCAGTTTTCTTCCACAAGTAATAAAATTGCACTAATTCTCCGACAGATCTCGTTCTGACCTAAGAAACAAAAGAACATCATTTTTTAAATTTCTTTCTATATTATAGATCAGGGCTCGGAACAGTTTGCCAATTTCGGCCGATTCTCGGGAACTACGCCTTCTATCTCCCCTTTGCCGCGCGGCGGGCCTAGAATGTGACGGTCGCGATCAGTCGCAGCTCCAAGCTTAGAGGCACGACTGTCACTTTCTTGGGCCGCCGCGCGGCAAGGAGGAGATAGAAGGCGTTGCTCCCGAGAATCGGCCGAAATTGGCAAACTGTTCCAAGCCCTGTTATAGATTATAGATTCGTATGTTTGGAGAAGATAAATGAAGTAAGTTTGGTTAGCGATGGATTGTAATATAGTGGAAATACTGAACAAAATGTTCCATATTATTATATCTTATATTTCCACATCTTATGCAGTAGATATAAAAGTGATATTTTTATTTGCGACTTCTGCTGTAAAGGTTTAAAGAACTTCTACATAATTTGAATTATTAAACTTAATTTTCTTAATCATAGCAAATTTTTTATTTTCATTTTTAACTTATGATTTTTACACATTCAAAAAAATGTAATAAAAAAAAATAATTATAACATTAACAACTTGATAACTTAACAAAAAGTAAACTTTTTTATTTTCATGCCTGTTTCATATTATCATCTTATTTTTTAAGATCCTATTTCTTACATTACGCTATAAAAAAATGTATGTTCTTTAAACAGTTAATTTTTTTTTTAATAATTATGAATACATTATAAGAGATATATTTGCTAACACTTCTGACAGTTATTGATACAATTATTATGTAACATTGGGTTTCTTCATCTAAAACAAAACTATGATCCATATTTCCACTTTTTTCTCCACATAGAGAAAAATGAAGAAAAATAAATTTTCATCAAAAAAATTTACCATATTTTCAATTACTACATACCTTATTTTTCTGTATAAGATGGAAATCTTTCCCATAGGTCCGCAATCCCGATTCGAAATTATGACACTCCTCTTCTGACCAGAGACTCACTGTTTCCGTCGATGGTACCACGTTCATTCTGCGTCTTCGTAAAGCCTCCTCAAGATTGTAGCCACATTGCAGTAAAAGATACAATGCCTGTTCGTCATCTCTGATATGGGATCCAGCCGGTAACGAGCCTTTTACCGCCGGAAGTTGCGCGCGTTCTAAGAACTCATTTGTATCTTCTTCAGATATTGGAGTGGGGTCCCAAAGCAGTTTATCTTCATTTTCGTACGGCAATGCGTCATCGTAGAACCACAGGCCTTCCGGTATTGCAGCTTGAAAATCACTACCAACCATGATAGTCTTCTTCCACTCTTCCTCGTCCGGACTGTAATCGCAGTCGTCTTCTTCTTCCTCGCTTTGTGGTCGCGAAACACTTCGTAAAAGTCTCGAACTACCACTTCCGATTCCAGCGTTGACAATCCCGTCTTCTGGCACGTCTATTGCTCCGCTAGTAGCCCCTTCTACAGCACTGTTAGGGGCGTCGGTCGCTGAGCACCCTCCTAGACTGACCATGCCGGTGCACGCGACGGCATTGGTTCCCACAGCCGTAGGTGACGATCTAGTGTTACTATTGCCGCTTCGAGAAGCCGTCATCGTGCATTCTTCAGCTTCGGCGTCTTCATCCTCGTCGTCGTCATCGTCAATTCTATGTCTTCTGCTGTCCCCGCTGGCCGTTCCAACGCCGCTGTTGCTCTTCGTCGACGGAATCGACGATGTCTTATCTTTCCCCTTCACCAGCATCTCTGTATAGAATTGCTTAAGATCCGGCTCGTTGCTGTTTGCATCGGCCTCGTCATCGTCGTCGTCGTCATCCGCGTCGTTGTCACCCTTGTCTGAGTAGCGCTCCTCAGTCTCAGGATCGCCACTTCCGGACGGCAGTAACATATGATCGGAACTGTCCGAATTCTCCGTCGAGGGGTCGCCGTACCCGTACATGGCAAGCAGATCTTTTAGTGGCATGTCACCTTCCTGCAAGGAGACAGAAATAAATCATTATTACATCAAGCGTACTTGTACGGACTAAACATGGAATCTCACTACGAGAACGCACTTTGAGTCCAAAGTGTTGCGGAAACTTATCATAATTGTAATTATTTATGGGCTTGATTTTTGCATTTCTCAGGCTTGATCCTAGAATAGTTGGGATCAGAACTTTGTTACAGAATGACAGATACGTATGCGTATATACAAGGTACTAAGATCAGATGCTGCAGAGATATACCTTTTGCAAATTGGACAACTCGTGAGAATCTTCACTACCTTCTAAAGCTTCTTCTTCGTCTAATGTTTGCTCGTCATCAAATTCAGGAGGTACTGGATATTTCACCTCGGTCGCAGGACCCATATCATATTCTGGATCCGTCCTGGGCATAACATATCTTGTTACAGACATGATATAGATCTAAATATATTTATCCTATTTTGACTTGTGATTTTATTTCTGTGCAACAAGTATCTTATCGCATAGTGTATATATATACTATGTGGTGTATACATAGTATGTGTATATATATACATATATGTATATACTTACATGATTCTACACTTCCCAATTTCATCGAGGTGGAAACATGACACACAAATGGCATACACGCATTAACACACAGATGAAGCACCAGATCTTATCAACACTGTATGTGAGAACTACGCTTTTCAACAGTCCATATTATCATAGTCCATTCAACACAGAAGTGATAAGTCTGACCGTAACTTTTAATATTTAACTTTAACGTCTAACGCAGAAGGGTAGAACATGAGATCCGTTTACAGCACGGAGTAACACGGAGTCTAACCTCATATCGACATCCGTTTCACAGTAATATTTGAGATACAATGCGTGCAGTCTTTTTACTGTGATGACTAATGCTTCGTGGAACGTCAACGGTTACTCTCTTTCTTTAGAGCAATTCAGCTGGCTAATCTCCTCGTCTACAAACACCATATAAACCAAAGTCTTCTATTGTCCTTATTCACAGACAACAACAAACTTGTCGACTGGAACATTCGGAATGCAAGGTTCATAAGGCACAAGTCTTCATCGGCCGGAAAGCGTAATACGTAATATCAATACGTATGCGGCATGCAGAGATCGTAAGTTACAAACAAATTAACTGAAAAACGCACATTATTTGTATTCGTCGAATTCGCCCATTAGATCGTGCGTTCGGAAGATGGATGCGGTGACGACTGAGAGCGTCGTATTATCCGATGTTGTTAGGACGCTAGAAGCGATGTACCAATTAAAGGAGAAGAAAATGCACCAGATTATAGTTTCAAATGTAAAACTTTAGTTAGAGCTAAATATAAAATCATTGTAACGCGCAAACGGATAAATTCATAATGTATTTAATGTAATAATAATTTTATAACTCATTGTTTTTTCTTCTAAAGAGAAATCCAGTGTATATGTCCAACGGACATAAGTGTAAAAGTGCCAAAAATGCAAGCATCGCGAACATACTTTAGGTTTGTCGAGTTGCTTGTACTATTCACACTTTTACACCTAATGCCCGTTGCACACTAGTGCACCTCATACAATACAAATTTTCCAAAATACGTTCTGAAGACGCTTTTAGGACGGAGAGATGTCATCAGAATATTTTTAGGACGTCCTTTGAAGATGTGAGCTGTCTGAAAATAGCTAATATTCAATAAGTTTATTCGCATTAATTGAACTTTTTACACTTAGTGCACATTAATTCTTTAGAGGTTCTAAAAATGACGTCATGAGTTCCGTTCGTGTTAAGCCCGTATCACACTAGCGATTGGCGATTAATGATTGACGATTGAAGATTAGATTTTGACGAATCAACGAGCTTTAACCTTAGTTTGCTTTGTTGCAATTGGTCAAGTTTCAATCTTCAATCGTCAATCATCAATCGCCAATCGCTAGTGTGATACTGGCTTTACGAGTGTAATTGCAATTTTAATACACTTTTTACACATGATCCCAAGCATATCATGCGCAGATCGCACGCTTGTCGCGACAGCTAGATTCACTCTAAAAGTTGGTTTATGATAGCCATAATCCGTTAACTTATGTCGGAACCGTAAAAAATTGACCAATTATAGTTGAATTATAGAAAAATAATCGACTGTGATTGGTCAATTTTTTACGGTTCCGGCATAAGTAGAGAACCTCTAGAGCTGCGTTCAGAAACCCTACTCGGTGAGTAGAGTAATATTTAATTAACCAGTCAGAGCAAAAGGAATTAAGATTTATTTATTATGATTGGTTTATTAAAGTAACTCTACAGAGTAGGATTTTTGAACATAGCCTAGTAAAGAGAATCGCCAACTTGGTCATGTGACCAGCTACTCAGGTACGTTCCGAAATTCACTGCCAGTACTGAAATTCTATAGTATACGTGACATGAACTATAGATTTTCAGTACTGGCAGTGAATTTCGGAACTCAGCTACTCTGCGATTGGCTGAAACATGTACGGATAAACATATACGGATTTGGACATTGCGACGCCGATGCAAAACGATATATATATATATATATATATATATATATATATATATAGGGAATTGCGTATGCCTTCTGTAGACCAAAAGTGTGTCCAAAATATGTGCGAGAGAGAAAGGTATACATTCCTATTCATCCTCTATGCGCAGGCACCAACGTCGGTGTTGTTGGGCTACAAAATTATTGGTTTTAATATTTTTTTACTTGAATTCTATCAACTTTACCGAAAAATAGCGAGAGATAAAAATTGTTTATTTTCTTCTCATAGAGCTCGGAGAATTTTTTCAGAATTTTGTATTAACTTTTTAGTACTGCGTTTTTTTGCATTTTCTTGCATTTTCTTGAAGTATTAGAAAGTTAATATAAAATTCTGAAAAAATTCTTAGAGCTCTATGAAAAGAAAATTAACATCTGTCAACTCTATAACCTAACTTAACCTGTTAATTTCAACGCATGCGCACAGAAGACTAATAGAAACGTATAGCTTTCTCTCTCGCACACATTTGGACTTTCGTGCCAGCATTCCCCCTCCATGTATATATGCTCTAAAAGCCAAATCACACTAGCAATTGATGATTGAAGACTAGATTTTGACGAATCAACGAGCTTCAACCTTGGCTTGCTTTGTTCCAATTGGTCAAGTTACAATCTTCAATCGTCAATCATCTATCGCCAATCGTTAGTGTGATTTAGCCTTTAAGGCTCGAACGCTTGCATGTAATGGCACCTTAGGGTGCGTTCAGATTCCTCATCCGGGTGCACTCCATTACTATAGTATATGTCACATATACTATAGCACTTCTAGTAATAGAATACACCCGGGTGGGGAATCTGAACGCAGCCTTAAGGAGCGATAAAAATAGAAGAACAGCATAGCGTTGATATCGTGTTCCCCGAACGCACTCTATATCTATCTCATTTTAATCTTTATCTATCTCATTTTAATCTTTATCTATCTCATTTTACCAAAAACGCAATGTAGTACACTTTTATTGTACATCAAGAAAAACGTCAACGTCAACGTCGTTAAAAATAAATAAATCATTCTGAGACGTGAATTATTTATACAAATTTCTATACAAACGAGTGTATATAATTAACCATTTAACTTTTTATTATAAAAGTTATTTTAAGCTAACAAAACTACCTCAATAACACATTCGTTCTTATATGATATTTTGGTAAATTTTTTTCCATTTGATAAAAAATAAAACTGTTAAGTTGCATATCATTCTCAAAAAAGAGTTACTCATTATCTCAAGATGATTGTCTTAACTAAAAACGGACTTCATAAAATCATGGTAAGGTAATTTATGTTTATTTTCTCGCTAGGATAATATATTTTGATGTTTGTGTTTATTTTCTTCTTCTGTTATGTATTATTACAGATTAATCGTCGAAGAGTGGAACTAGCACAACATGTAGCTAGGTACTTGTGTTTTGTTTTTATATTTTTAATAATGAATAATCGTTCTTTGCATTTATTTTTAAAATTATTAAATTAATCATTATGATGTTAGTATATACAGTTATCATTTAAATGGTTCTATTTGATATAAATTTTATACATATTTATTTAAATTAGAGAGAACATGATATTAAAATATAACATGACATTAATTTTATTTCAGGAGTACTGTAGCTTCCTATGATACTGCTGAATATCAATATATACAAATTAGCAAAATCCCAACATTCCATTTTCAACCTTCTTTACCACGATTGCCAATACCAAAACTTGAAGATACATGTAGGAGATATTTAAATGCACAGAAACCTTTACTGGATGATAAAGAAATACAAAAGACATCTTCCTATGTTTCCAAATTTCTTGCTAATGAGGGACCGAGCTTACAGAAACAATTAATTCAAAGTGATGCTGAGAATTCACATACTAGTTATATTAGTGAGCTATGGTTTGACATGTATTTAAGAGACCGTAAGCCTTTACCAATCAATTACAATCCTTTCTTAGTCTTTGTACCAGAATCTGACCCAAAATATGATATACAATTGGTAAAGGCTACAAATCTTGTTATATCTTCATTGAGATTCTTAAAATCTCTCAAGGATAACATCCTAGAGCCAGAAATATTTCATTTGAATCCTAAGAAGTCAGATACAAATCTATTTCGCAATTTTACAAGATTGATTCCACCTAGCTTTAGCTATTATGGAGCTTATTTATTTAAGGTATGTATATAAGAATAAATGTACCATATTTTTTTCAGTATATATACTCATAAAATATCTCGATTTTTAGATTGTAAAAACCAGTAATTTATAAGAAGAATGTCTAAATAGAAATTTATATTGCAGGCTTATCCATTGGATATGTCACAGTATAAAAACCTGTTCAATACAACTCGAATACCAGAACTGGAGAAAGATAGAATCTTCCACGATCCTTCTGCAAAGCACCTTGTAGTAATGAGGAAAGGACACTTTTATGCGTTTGATGTTTTAAATGCAAACGGCTCCATTCGTAGCCCTAAAGAAATAGCTGCGTGCCTAAAAACTATTTTGGAAGATAATAGACCACCGAATAAGCATCCCGTGGGCATCCTTACGACTTCAGAAAGGAATCAGTGGGCACAAGCACGTTCACATTTACTCGAAATAGGAAATCAAGAAATTCTAAAAAAGATCGATTCCGCTATATTCACAATGATCTTAGATGACGAAGTTATAGGCACTGATAAAAATAAATTAATTAGGTCATACCTTCATACAGATGGTACTAATCGTTGGTTTGACAAGTCATTATCCATCATCGTTTCTAGAGATGGCTACGGAGGAATCAATTTTGAACATTCATGGGGTGATGGTGTTGCAGTACTGAGATGCTTCCAGGTAAATAATAGTATTTAATTCAAGATATATATTATTAATGCAACAATTGTCAACTGGTCGTTCCTTAGGATATAAAGGCCGATATATCAAAGAAACCTAAATTCCATCCTAATGAAGTAGATGAACTCTCAAAGGAGATGCCAAACATTGAAAGACTTGAATTCTCTATAGATGCTAAAAGTGAAAGTACTATTAACCAAGAGATAGTTAAATACAAAGAATGGATTGATCGACTATGTGTAGACCATATACTTTGCGAAGAGTTTGGTAAAGAACAATGTAAAAAGCTTAAAGTAAGTCCAGACGCTGTAATGCAGTTGGCGTTCCAGTTGGCGTTATATATTTTGGAAGGCAAATCAGTACCGACTTATGAATCTTGCAGCACTGCTGCATTTAAACACGGAAGAACGGAAACTATTAGATCTTGTACATTAGCAACTAAAACAATATGCGCCGCTATGACTCGAAACAATAGCGAACTTTCGAAGTCAGAGTTGAAGAAAATGATACTTGATTGTAGCAAAGCTCATAATGTGCTTACGAAAGAAGCTGTAATGGGTAATTAATCTGCTAATTATGCAGATATTATAAATGTTAAGTCAATTGATTTAGAAGAAAACATGTGTATACAGATTATCTGATATTTTTATTTTACAGGACAAGGATTTGACAGACATCTGTTTGCTTTGAGGAAAATATCAGAGAAGTCGAATTACAATAAGCCAGCCATTTTTCAAGATCCAGCATACAATGCTATAAATTATAACATATTATCTACTTCTACTTTATCAAGTCCTGATGTACTGGCTGGTGGATTTGGACCAGTGGTACCTGATGGATATGGAATAGGGTAAGCTATCCATGTTATATATTTAACACTGGACATATGCTGTATATGTTAACACTGGAAACATTAACATCTTGTTATATTGTTCTTGTTAAATTACAGCTTAAACAGTATACTAATTTATTGTTCTAGATACATGATTCAGGAGAAACGTTTGGGTGCTGTTGTGACAACTTATGAAGGTAGCCGTAATGCCAGCAAATATGTACAAACATTAGAATACGCATTCAAGAACATTCGTGATCTGTTACATGGGTAACTGTCCTTTCTGAGACTTTTACTGTCAAGATTTTAAAAAAATATGTGAGAACATATTAGCGTAACGTAGCTAGCCGAATAGCTTATTGGTTTTTAATCGCAATATTTTTGTTACAATTAACCCTTTGGGGACGAGTGTCGGCATATAGCCGCCCAAGCCGTTTTACCGTTCCGGACGCGTGTCGGCATATAGCCGCCCAAATTAGTTCGTAGCTGCAAGGCTCGCGACGTCTGTCGTTCTGAGCGATAAGATACGCATAGGTATAGTAAAAGAGTCACGTTTTCATTCAAAGACATTAGGGGCCATTAGCGATGAAGTCTTATCTTCCTTATAGCCCGTCGAGCGGCTCCGTCCCCAAAGGGTTAATATAACTATAGGTAGGGTTATTGTTATTATACACAGTTTATACGCATATTATCGTACAAGAATGTTTATAATCATGTTATTGTGCCTGGAGTGGAGACAAATTTTGTTCCTTGATATTTTGAATGCAAAGTAAAAGTAATTATAGTTGTCTTTGATAATGGGAAACTTTTATACAATATTGAATAAATATTTTTAACACTTTTATATAAGACTTTTCATTAATTTTTAAACCAATAAATTTTTAATCAACAATTTTTCCAATGAGTAATACATATGGAGAATAAATTAATACAAGTACTGTTTTATATTATTCTATTACATTACTCATATTAACAAAAAAATATATACAATGACTTATGCAAAAACGAGCGCTATAACGCACTCAAAGTACGAAACGAAAATTATGTTGGTTTCTAAAAACTGGCACCTGTTGCAATCTCTATTTAATTTTGGACAATATTTTATATTACACAACACAAGCAGGAAGATTTGTCTGAAACAGTATAACGTACACCACATTAATAACTATAGATATTGAGACAGATATTAAATTAGATCATTGTAAAGATTATACAATCCAAATTAGCAACAGGCAGTAATATACCAAATTTTCACACTCATTGGTACCTATAAAATTCATAAGTTTGGACAATGATTTCAAAGATATACAGTCACTCATCTAGAATCTTTTGACTAAATGTGGAATGGAATTATTATGATCCCAATAATACGTCAACACTTGCTCTCTTATAACTTATATCTATACGTTGCCCATCTTCACTTTAGATACCTGCAAGCAAACATATGAGAACATTATAGACAATCAAGAATATGTTCATTCATGTAACTTTGACATCTTGTGTTGCTACAATACTATCTTACCATATATATGCCAACAATCAAACCAAAGAGTCCTATAGCAGAGCCAAAGATTTCTATAATAAGGATCTTCACGAAAAGAGCAGAATTAGCTGCATCAGCTAAAGCTGCACCAGAACCAACAATGCCAACTGCTATGCCACAGAAAAGATTGACCATTCCAACAGCTAAACCAGCACCAAACATTACATATCCAGCCATCCAGTTTGAAGATAAAATAACTTCCTTATTGACACCTGGCTTATTGATATTGTATTCTTCAAGCATTCCAGATAGGACAATGGCAGTGATTAATCCATAAATGGCAACAGCTTCGCAAAATATCACAGAGATCAAATTCTTTGTCTTGATTCTAGGTGCTTTCACACCTCCACCAACAATAGATACTCCTGTCGTATGGATACCTCTACAAGTATGATTACTATAATGAATAACTGATTTTCATTAAAAGTTATTAACAAGACCATAAATATATTAAACTTACAGTGCTGCACCAACTACAGACAAAGCCACTGCCAGACCTATACCCAGGGTAGACCACATATATGGGGAAGTATTCGTTAAGAACCTAAATTGTAAAAAGTAATGTTTAGTATTTTATCATATACTAAATATGTAAATAAGTGATTATACATACCACGCAAGACTAATTTGCTCTCCCTTGCCAGTAAGTACATAATATAAAACTGTAACATGACAAATATATAAGAACACTCACATGATATGAACAAGTAGCTTAATAAAAAAATAAATAAATTTAGTAAAACAACTTGTATTGTTTCATCTTATATTTTCTCATCTATACTATTTATTGTAATAAATATACAATAAAGCAATACCTAAAATAATAATTGTAGTGGAGGCCGTGACCGCGAAAGTGGTACCTACAATGTGCCTCATGATTGCGAAATTAAGTTTCACCGTATGCACAATATGACTCACGAAAGATCTCAGAATACACGAATCACAATCGATATTCCGGAAAAATCAAATACCCCGATTTTTTTTTAACAAATCTTTAGTCTCCGCATCGAAAAGTCGAGAGATGCCTACACACCCGTCGTTATCATGTGACAACCGCTGGTGTCAAAATCATACGAAATGCAAGATGCGAAACAACGGTTTTAGAATGAAACCGGTCCGTTTATGCTAGTCGCATCTTTTACACTCAAAATGGAACAAACATATATGCAGCCTTGAGACAGAGAAGGAAGGAAGAAGCGAAGTGTAGAAGGTGCAAGTAAAGCGAATAGTCCATAACGCAGATAGTTTTGCGATCATGCCTTAAAGGCGCGTTAAATTTGAACATCGCGTTTGATCATCTACTACATATAATTATTTAAAGATCTATTTGAATTTCAGTTAACGCGATAAATCGACTTTGAGGAATTTATAACATATTTTAGTACGACATGGATCCTTAATTGGTCTTACGAATCTGCTTATTCGCAAGAAGTTAGCCGTTTTATTTTCATGTAAAATGGGGAAAAAATCTAACAACTATTATATAATTTTGTACATTCCTATTGCACATCCAGCTACATTCCTATTGCATTCTAATGATTTTATTGACATAGTAGGTACCAGTACAACAAGTTTTAATAATTGATTTATTTTTGTTATTGGAACACATTTTTGTATATTCTATCGGTATGCGGAGGGAAATGAGGAGAAAGGACGAATCAGAGCCCGCTTTGTACGGTTCGCTGCAGACAGAATTGTCGCATTTCGAAAGAGGGGACAAATATACGCGGAACTTTCAGCTTTAGCATCTAATTTTAGAATCCGTCATGTTCGTATCTCTCTATTTCGAGGGAAGCAGAGCCCGTAGATGTGTTCTGTTAAATACAAAATCGATTTGTCTCGATAGCGATTACAAGAATGTCTCTGACAAAAAAGGGGTAAGCCAGCTTTACAATTTCGTCTGTTAATAGGATCCATCGCTCCGTCATTTTTCATTCAGATCTATTCATCTTCCGTGAGTATTTATATATCGCGTATGGACGTACTGTCGTACCTAACATGAAACGGTTTTCTCTAATGAGACATTCCATTAGTCGATGCTTGGAATAGTCATCGCATAAATGCGTTCGCGTCTGTGACCGGACCGGCCGTCGCTCGTACTATTTCGGTCTTTGATTAAATTTATAGCGGTAAATTTAGAGCAATAGGGAAATATGGTAGACTCATATCTGCAAGAAATGTCACGATTGTACACGAGCTCCAAATGCGTGTACTTAGCAAATCTTCCGAGTTTTCCGGCAATTTGTGCGTCTTTGGACGCGCATTATAGAGTAACGCGATAACGCACTTAACGTGTGTTATCAGAGAATGTATGTCTTTTACATCATATCAGCGTCATACAATATCAAATGTGCAGAGAGAAAAAGTATTCAACATGTACAAATCTGGAAATTTTCCTCCTAAGCGAAACTTTCTACTCCTCGATTGTGTGATTTGTAATAATCAAGGAATAATGGTGGAGTAGTTTCTCACATATTTTGGCAGAGAAAATATTTTTACACAAATGGATGTATTATAATATGACATCAATTTGTACAAAGAATTTCTCAACATCGTTTCTATATTACTAATCTCCCACTTATATTCTATGCACAGCTTTTATTTCTGTAAAAATGATCGTTTCTCCAGGTCGATTAAATAGGCACAATTATCTTTGTCGTTTGTCAGTACATTTACCTAAATATATAACATCAATGATCACATAATTCCATTGATAGGTTTATTATATTACATGAAAGCATCTCAGTCGACAGATTCCATCGTCTCTTGCGGGAAAAATTCGCGAATTCGCTTCGCAAACTTACCCATTCCGAACAGCACAAACATAGTGCGACCTCCCAAGGACGTTTCTTGGAAGTTTGTGCTGTCTGGGATAATATTATTTTCATCTAACATATTCATACGTTGTGTTACAGGAATGTCTCGCTCGACGAATTTCGTCGCGTCATGTACAACGCTATTTCGCAAGAGCCGTTCGCGACTCGATTCGCGAAGTTATCCACATCTGGCGACAGACGAGGAATGGTCGAGATGATCGTAGAGATGCCTTATGTAGCTGGGTTGAAACCAGACGACTCCTACCAGGGTAAGGACGACGCGCAGGCTGCAAGATTGTATGAGAGATCGCACAAAGCGATGACTGGCAATGGCGAACATGCGACAGAGGAGATTGAAATGTATAATGATACTCTTACGAAAACACTGTTTGCGGCCAGTGTGAACGATAGAGTGTTTCTGGATACGCTCTGTGAGCGTGCTAGGCGCTCCTATAGCCTGCGAGCTTATGCAAGCTGTCTGAGAGACTGCGAGTGCATGCTGGCGCTTCCAGCGAGCTTCTATGACGACTCCGTAGAGAATGTTAAGTACTTTGTTCAGCGTAGAAAGGAGTTCCTTCAGTTGGAACGGGAGTGTTCCAGAAAATTGGAGGCCGCATCCACGAGAAAACGCAGCTCCGGTCGCGGAAAAGCCGCGTCCATTGCTTCCAGCCCGAAGACGTCGTCACTCGGCAAGCGCGGCGTCACAACGGCGCCCATCGTCGACGGCAGGCAGCATGGCTATCTCGTGAGCTGTCCAGACAGTGTGACGCTTCAATTCCATGTAGCTAAGGGCCGGCATCTCGTAGCTACAAGAGACATCAGACCAGGAGCTGTACTCATTGTCGACCGGCCGTTTTCCTATAGCACGGATGCACCGGCTCTCATCCGGAATTGTTTGCATTGTCATGCTACACTTAAATTAGAAGACAGCGTTAGAATACCGTGCCGTAATTGCCAAACAGTTAGTAGAAGAGCGCATGATTACATTCGCGCATGCACGACACGTATTCTAATACCACTCGTTAAATTTACGTATACTCGTATGTCTATATGTACATATATAAAGAGTGTTTGACGATACATGTAAAACTCTTGTGTATGTGTAAACTAAAAAATAAAAATGTCCTGTATCATTTTGCAAATAATCACATCGATTTTTAAATATTTATTAAAGAAGATTGACAAACAATCATGTGCTATTATTTATCAATCTTCTTTAATTAATAAAAATTTACATAGTTATTTGCAAAATGATATAAGATTTCTTTGTTCAGTTTGACCTAATGTACAAGTACATAACGTCGCTGTCGATTGTAGCTTATCTACCATATCGCGCGTGTTATTTACCAATTTCTTTATTTAAAAATTTTACGTTGTTATTTAAAAAATAGTAGAGGGATGTTTTGTTTAGTATGCGTACATACGTACACGAGAGTTTCATATATATCATCAGATATCCTGTGTATATATATCAGATATCCTGTATATAGCCTATTAACTTTTTCTTTGTATCTCTTTTTGTTTCTCTTACGCGTTTGAATTTGCGCTTGGATGGTCACTTCAATACGAGTTTCGCTTTTCGTTTTTCTAGGTATCCTTTTGCACGGAAACATGTCGCAAGGAAGCGTGGGAGAGATATCACCAGTACGAGTGTTCAGTATTCAACTATTTTCTCGAAAATACCTCAAACAACGAATGTCGACAAAAGTCTCATCTTTTGCTCGCTTATCGAACGACAGTCATACAAGCATTATCGGTAGATACTTCGAAACTGAATAGCGCAGAAATAAAGTGTGTTTTAAATCCTGATTTCTTACGCTATCACATTAATGGTAACGAAAAGAGCGAAGACGATGACATTAGCAACGAATGCGCAGAGTTGGGGACGAAAAAGCCGTATAGCCCTCTCGATTATCGAACGATCTTCCAATTGAAGACACACTGTGCCGATGTAGGACCCAATGTAAATTTGGTTCGAACAATCGAGTCAGTTTTCCTTGCAAAGTGTCTGCTTTTCGTGTTGAGTAAATTGGACGTCATTTGTACGAAGGAAACGTTCGTTCCATTGGCCATTGGCATGCTACATCATTTACAGGCGATTGATTGCAACGCGTACGAAATCATTGAGAATGTCTATGATGAAACGACACGCGTCTGGGAACCCAGGAATATCGGCGGTGCGATTTATACCACGGTCAGTCTTGTGAATCACAGCTGTTACCCCAACGTAATACGTCACTCTTATCCAAATGGTAAATAATCCGCAATTTGAGAGAAAGATAGATTTTACAAATTAGTGAACATAACAGATCGATTGTGTACTGAATGGTTACGCGTGTTCTTACAGGAATAGTCGTGGTTAGAGCACTGCGCTCTATTAGCAAAGGATGCGAGATACTGGATTGTTACGGACCACAATTTCTTAGCGAGAGCAGATTGACTAGACGAGAGTTCTTGTGGAAGAAGTATCGATTCCTATGCGAGTGCGACGCCTGCATGCACAACTGGACATTTCCGTTACCCGAAACAGTAAATTATAAGTGTACGGCGTGTTCGGAACCGCTGGATCTCTCAGGGATAAACGCAAACGCTGCGCGAAAAGTAACGCATCAGCAGTGTGCCAAGTGCGAGAAAACGATCGATTTGCAGAAGATCGAGAAACAACTTCACAAGTCGATTCAAAAAAGATTGAACGCTATTGCTAAAATGTATCAAGGCAATTATAGAGACGCGATGCCTCTGCTATTCGAACACGCGCACTTTGTCAATAAATATTTGGCTGAACCTAACATAGAAGGTATCAAAACAGAACAGTGTATCGTCCAGTGTTACAATTCTCTCGGCTCTATTTCCGTGTAATAATAATCTCTCGACCCATTTATGTCACATCTATTTATACAATAGTATAAAATAATGATTTAAATTTCTATGGTAAAATCGCGGGAAAGAAAAAAAAACGGCAATACAATTCACTAAAATTAATTTTCTAACTTTCTATTTCGAGAGAGAAAAAAAAATATATATAAATAACAAAAAATACACGGCACAATGCTTCTACCAGGAATACTTCTCATTCCTAATGTTTCTCATTCATAATTGTCGTTAACAGCTAGTGTAACACGAAGTAATATAAGCATGTGTTAAGTGACAAAGAAGCATGACGTAAAATGCATAACAGAGAAAAAATCGTTTAAGAACATTTTACAATTCGATAATAGATTACTGATAGACTCGTACGTCTGTATCATGATCAGTAGAAAATCGTGCCTAAATTACATATCGTGAATCAAACAATAATTTGATTTCAGTTGCACAAGTGCGTGCTTTATGCACAATGTTATGCCTCCCTCATGCTCATACAATTAGGTCATGAAATATATCATGGATCATTGTGCTTCAATGACACCTTACTTGCATGAAAGATACGAGTTATGTACAGTGGTCCGGCATATACATTGGTAAATTACATCATTTAACATAATTCATTAAAATATAGGCGTGTAATACCTATATTCAACTAAAATCCTATGATGTAAGGATAGGCATTCAATTACCACATGTGTGTCTCTCTAATTTCGCTAATGATGTGACCAGCTAGAGTCAATGCCTGCAGAATTACAACAATTGTTAGAAAGGAGTTCACAAAATAGTACATGTGAAAATATAAGTGATATTCTCTATACCTTAAGCATGTCCGCTGCTTCTTTACGTCTAACGGCGATGTGTTCACTTTCGTTTAACAACGCCTCAGCTTGATCCGACTTATATAAATGCGTTACAAGTTCACTTTGTAAATTATCTTTTACATAGTTGACTAGGAAATGCATAACAGCCTTTGGTACACTGTCCTGAATGGACTTCCGTACAATATAAAAGTATGATTTTATGAGTCTTTCTGTAAATAATGAATGAAAATAATCAAGATGTAAAGAGATAGCACGACGCAGTAATACAATACGCAATATAATACAGTACAAATTGTTGTCCTTACCGATAACATCACAGTCCCTTTGATCACGCTCGCTTAGTTTTCGGGATGTTTGTATTGGTACAGCAGGGAGCAAATTTATTGATTTCTGTTGTGGCGATATTCTCTGCATATCAGTTACTGAATTAATTCCAGAATTCGGGATGTTATTGTTTTCACGCATCCTAACTGGGGAACCGTCTGCAGAGGTAGCTAATTCTGATTTCGCATGCGGTAGTAAGTTACTTAGTAGCCAGTGATTTTGCTGTCCTTGTTCCTTAGTCTGATCAGAAACATAGTTTATCTCATCTTGATTATTGTTTGATTTTATAGTCTGTTAGAGAGATAAATATATTTTACTATTAAAGTTACGAATACACAAGACTAAAAGTGGTGCATGAAAAATAATAAATAAACGGATAAATCACGTGTAGGTGTAGTGTGTCTGCATTACATCTTGATGATGTAATCACGTACATGCAGAGGATAAACATCTCAAAAAAAAACATTAAGTAAGGATCATTACTCACTGTGTCTATTGGGACTATAGCACTGGTCGTTAATCGTTTGTTGTGCTTTAAGTCATCAGCACCTTTCAGTAACGATGATACAAGTGCCGCGTCTTTATGAAAATCAGGATGCTTAGTGTTGATATATGCTAATTCTATAGCGACCAGATTCTCCACCTTTTCGAAAAAATTAAAATTCACACAGTGTAAATATTAAACAAACATATGAATACAGGTATACGGTGAACGTTTTAATTTACCATCGCGTTGGTAGTTGGGAGCCGTCTACGAAGCAACTGTGTAACAACGTCGACAATACGCTCGTACAGTTTAGGGAAACGCAGCATTTCTTGTTGTACCTCAGTGCCACAATGCTGTATTATACTTTGCATCTCCTCATGCACAAGCTCCACGCACCGTAATGAGGGTTCCTCCAATCTCCGTATTTGCCGTTTGACTAGTAACTCGAAGGAAACTTCTGGCACAAAGAGTGCTGGCCTCGGACCGGTTGCGTTACGGATAGCGGTCAGTATGTCCGTTTTAGTAAGACCTACCAAGGGATGAATCGAGTCGAGGGTTTTACCAAATGTCTCATGAAATATGTAGCAAATACGAGCGCCACCGCACAGCTCAGTGGTCTCTATGTTCCTTGCTGTGCCTTCTATCGTAGCACAATAACTGCTTGCAAATTTCGTGATGATCTGTAGCAAAGTTTGGCTCTTGTCTCCAACATTCTCACCATAGGAATTAAGTAAGGTTTGAAACTGCGCGACCATTACATTCACTCTCGTCTGTTTCCAAATAATACAATTTTCGTTAAATTTTATTTTTATTTCAGTCTTCCACCCACATCAAGGAATTCAACTATTACTGTTGACATCATTACCTTCAATTCTGGCAAGCAATCCCTAATATGATGCATAAGTAAGCGATTGAGAGTTTTCGCCAAGTAAGGAGTTCCATTTCTGTTTGCCAATGTGGGGTATTTACGTTGTAAGAATGTAGCCTCATCTTTTAGTGCCTCCTGGATACTCTTGTTATTCATTATATCCTGCTGAGAACGATTAACAACACCTATAATTCCCAATTTGACTGGGATGACTCTACCACACAGAATATCTATGGCATCAGTTCCTAGAAGGATAAGAGGTATATATTCAATAATATTACCAGATACAATACAAAACATTGTGTTACATATTTCAGATACATTAAACATTATAAGTGAAATGTACCAGCATCCATGAGGTCCAATTTGGTAACAACAGCCAGTGTTCGTCTGCCATCTGGATCAACATCTTTACTAAGCTTCAAACTCTCGCTTGTAGCCATATCAGTGTTGGCAGTGACCACTGCTAAAATTATAGAATTAGGATTACATATATATTTTAGTACTAGCTCGTGTATCTGACTCTCGATGTCCTCTGGCTGATCACCCACTGGTACTTTTGTGATACCAGGTAAGTCTATGAGTGTCAAATTAACAACAGATTTTGAAAATATTTTGAGATTAATTGGCTCTGGACAGATTCCTTTATTGGCTCCAGCCATTCTGTCAGTTTCAGCTTCAATCTCTATGCGAATATCATCGAAATTTCTGTAAATCTTGTTCTTTGTGTGCAGAAATGTTCCCCATTCATCCAAATCCAAAGTTCCATTCTCTGCATTTCTGTGTTCGCGATCATCCTTTGGTGTGTACACAAGTTGTAATATTAATGGCCGCCGTGTGACAATGCCAGTTCCTCGTGGTAGGAAAGTACGACCTACCAAACTCTCTATTACAGATGACTTTCCAGAACTCTATAACATGCAAAGTATCATAATGATGCAATAATCAAGAATATCTATAAGTTATTTTTATTTCTTTTTTTATTTGGGTTGTTTATGCTATCGCAAAGTCAAGATTCAATTAGAAAGAGATAAAGGAACAGAAATAATAGTATTTTGGCTTCTGCTTTATCATATGAATAATCTAGAATGGTGATATTTCTATCATTATAATTTGTACAGGTTTGATGAGGGACATGTAGTGTTTTCTTCGACCATAACATTTCTGAAAATTTCAAAGTCATTGAATAGCGAGAAATTTATTTTATCACGAATCGTGTATTGTTCAGAACAAAGGAATAATACAACGGAATAATCAAGCGACAATCGACATCGAGAACCGTTGGTTTCAAATGCGCTGTCGATACTTCAGAGAGGCATTTTCTTTCCTCTCTCTTTTTGCAAAACTCAAATACACAACCATCACATCTTAAGCGCAAACGATGTTGCTACGTAACACAATTGAAGTAAGCGGAACTGATGGTTTCAAATGATTGTGAATAGCTCTTGGTTAGGACCAAGGAACGACACTAACCTGCGTGCCCAAAACGACGATCTGCGGCAGCTGTATTGCGTCAGAGCCGACGGTATTGAATACGTCTTGCAATTTGTTTATCACCGGTATTAAAGCTTCCATGGTGAGCCAAATGATAAACGTTTAGGAGGAACAATGAATCGATCGAGACGGTGGTCTTGGTTCGTCGGTTGGTTGTAAAGCCGGTTCAACGCCTAGATCGTTCTCCTTCACGCGTGTCGTCGATCACAAATCATGCAACAATGACGAGTTATCTCGCACTGCTTAATGTTTGACACTCCGATGATCGCGATACGGATGAAACGAAATTCCTTTTTACACCAAATCACCACTACTGGAACGCGCACCTGACTCTTAAGCCGTTCCGCGCTCCATAATGCACACACGCGTGCGCATGCTTGATTGTATAAGAGTAACGTACACGAATACGTATGAGAATACTAATAGCACATACGTACATACATATATGTGTGTACTGACGTGAGTACATAAGTATGGACACGTAAGTCCATTGTCTCCAATACTACTTACTACAACTCAGCTGTTCCTGGGAAAATAATTGTGATGTTACTTTCGTTTAAACGCAATCGTTAATCCCGTGAAGATAAATGAGGAACATAAATTTTTCTGTTTATATATCGGTCGAATTTATAAGTGCGCAATTTACAATTTAATAGCACTTGCAGTATATTTCAAACCTTTAGCATTTATTTTTTTCATTGAAATTTACATAAAGATTATAGGCATCACACGAATAATCGTCTTTACGAAGATGCACCACGTGACATTTGAATCACCACTAGATAAAACACGAGAATACGGAATTTAATTCGTGCCACTCTCCAAACGTGAACGGTATAAAATTTAACGTTGATAATTTTATTACAGTTCCGTTATTGTCTACTCGTAGATCAGAAGTCGATTTATTTAAGGTGACCAGATTTCTCAACCCTGAATTCGGGACTTCATAAATGTGCGAAGCAGGGGGCGGGGGGAGAGGGGTAAAAAGATCCGAAAATTATTTGACAATCATTGAAAATGATGACAAATCGTCCCGAATAACACTCGAAAAAATTCGGGACAAAGGGTGAAAAATCGGGACGTCTGGTCATTTTAATTTATCGTCGTTCTTTACTGCGTATTATTGTCCTATAGCGTATTGTTGTCCTATATCTGTGCAGTGCATTTGCTTTGTAATTTGCGATGTATAATAAGCATAAAGATATCGTTCAGTTTTACGTAATCTTAGGATCGAAGAATTTGCGGCAATATGTACGATCTGAACGACTGCGCAGCGTTTGCAACATAATTATACATTATTACCTAAGCAGAACAGAAAACGATGACATCAAAATGACGAGAGAATAATCTAATCATGATTGAAAAAGAGTTTTTCAAGAATCATTTTCTTATCATTTTGATGTCATTTTAACGTTATTATGATTTCTTTGAAAGCGAAATTCTTTACACGCGTTTGCGACGAGAAAGACGAAAAAACTATTTATAGGCTTTATTTATAGGCTTTATTTCGAAATTTGTTAACAATGTTGAAGTGCCACTGCTGATACTAGTGTAATCATCCTAATATATCGACATAACCTTATAGTTTTATTTTTATGGGAGATATTTGTTTTATTATTTATATTATTTATATTTTTATCAGCTATTCTCATATATATAATTGTAAATATTCTTAGAACGCATTACGTTTCGGGAAATACTGCCATAGGATTAAAACGAAGATAAAATTCATTTAAATTGCGCGGGTTACGGCGCCATATTAATATTTGGTTTTATTTCTGTTTACAGAACTTAGATGGCGTTTGAAATATAGTCATGTGGTACAAATATTCAAACGGATTCGTATAGCGTTTATAAAGCACATATATACAACAAAAAAATAATTAATAATCAAACTTGTTGCATTAATTAAACTATTACATCTGCAAAATTGGATGTAAGGGATAAGTTACTTCCTGCGTATTTGGATTACACAGTACGAGGTTATACATAGGTTACATCAAACACTGTGAGGTAACACTTCACTCTAATTATTTTCTTTAGTTTGATAAATAATTCAACTTCACATTTTTTTCATAGTCTTCAAATTAACTTTTATTATGTCCAGCTCTAATTTGTAAAAGTTTACAGGTACAGATATGGGTTTACCGAAAGTATACTTTGACATAACCATAGATGACAAGTCGTTGGGACGAATTACTATAGAATTACGTCCTGACGTTGTGCCGAAGACATCGGAAAACTTCCGTGCGTTATGTACAGGAGAAAAAGGCTTTGGTTACAAAGGAAGTTACTTTCATCGTGTAATCCCCCAGTTTGTTTGTCAAGGAGGTGATTTTACAAATCATAACGGCACAGGTGGAAAGTCCATTTATGGAGACAAGTTTGAAGACGAGAATTTTGAACTCAAGCATATAGGCTATGGCATATTGTCGATGGCAAACTCTGGTCCAAATACAAATGGTTCACAATTCTTTATCACTACTGCAAAAACACCTTGGTTGGACAATAAGCACGTTGTGTTTGGTTCTATTGTTCATGGAATGGATATTGTGAGGAAAATTGAAAGTTATGGTTCACAAAGTGGTAAGACATATGAAAAGATTATGATATCAAATTGTGGTCAATTGTGTTAAACAAATTCATATATGAATATATTAGTACACATTAATTTAGATTTTTCTAAATGCTCAACTATCAAATTTCAATAGAAGCATTTAAAGTTATATATGTAAGAAATAATTATATATATTTTTAATAAACAAACATTTTAAAGAAACGACTTAATTACATATTGTATTTTACTAACTATACTGGTAATATTTGAATATCACAAATTATTCTACAATCTAAACCTGGAAGAGTCATTTCATTTTTCTTGAAGCTCGTGTCTCAAAGTAATAACATTATATTAATAATTATTATAGTATAATTATATTAATGATTGAACAACTGCAATGGATTAAATATAAAAGCAGAATTTGTATAATTAAATTTACTACAGATTATTCAAACACATGATGTAGAAATAAGCATGATTTGCATTTACATACTTTTGGTTTGTCATAAAGAAAGGAAAAGAGACGTGTAAACATTTTAAGTAAATAAAAATTAATTATTGTAATGTACAAATATACATAGATATAAATATTGCCTTATATCTACGAAATTGATATTGTCCTTAGTCAACGCATATCGGTAAATTAACTATAAAAAATGTGTTGAGTTCTATAACAGATGCGAATATTAAAAATATAACGTACATAACGAGACAAATGATTCCGACTGTACGACTTAATCTAAATTTATTAAGGAGCAATGATCCATATAAAATAATTAACGTAGAGAAGAGAGATACCGAGCTGTACACCAATCCTTGAGAATTAATTTGAATATAATACTCTCCAGGTATTTTTGGTAATAATGCGGCTTTTATGAACCATGGCAGTCCAAGACACAATAACACATCGAATACATTCGATCCAATGGAATTACTTATTCCCATAGCGCCGTGACCTAAAAGGAATTTTAAAATTTGATATTAATTTGCTGCAGGAAACTTTCGTGTTGAACAAGAGAATTCATATATATGTGTTATCATATACGTACCTTGATTCGCGACGATAACGCTCGATACTGCTTCAGGTACACTCATTCCTGCCGCAAGAAACGTTAAACCCATAATAGAGTCAGGTATTCTAAAGGTATCGCCTGAAATACAAATTCAATTATTAATATATCCAAACGATTCCAAAAGAGCCTGTAAGAAATGTCTAAAGAACATCCCTAAATTTTAAGACATCTCTTAAACGTCTTCACGATGTTCTATTCGACATTTCGAATATTTATTGTAGAAAATGTAATATAGTTATTTTTATGTTTTTATCGCAGCACCCACAAACATTTAAATAGTAATCCGCGAATATATAAATGTCCAATCGTCGATGACACGTACCGATAGCGGTGATGACCCATCCAATGATATAGGACGAAGACGCGATCCATATCACGCACATTAAGAACGTGACAGGATACCAAGACTTTAATTTATCTCTTCTACAGTCAGGGATAGTTATGAGCAACATCAGGTTAATAGGCCAAGTGATAACCCACCATATTTTTTCACATGTCGAATTGGGCCATGTTGTCATGTTTACAATGTCGACTAAAAAAAAAAGAGTATGTGAGATGTTACAAATATCGTCTTTTTATTTACTTCATAAATTCTTGAAGTTAATATTTGTATTAACGCATGTACTGTTACTGCGAATTTTTTAAAGATGTTGTGATGAAATGTTTTTAGATGAAATGATTGTGCCTTTGTATTAAAATTTTTATTGCATATAACTATATTCTATGTATAACTATATCCTATAGAGTACATACGTGATTCGTCCTCTTGCTCGCTGGAATTAAATCCACATATCTCTGTTTCTTTGATGAAGTCTGTCAGGTTTCATCATGAAAGATAGCCAAGCATGAGATTACATGTCTTACGAGTAGTTACCGAATGCAATCCCTGCAAAGAGATACGTGGATTAAAAAGAAATGACAGGGATTTATTCTGTGAAATTGAATTTATAAGGTTAGCCATTGACTTTATAGATTGCGGTTTCTTTTTGGTCTTTTTCTATCTTTACTAGGAAAAATGAATCTTTTTAATAAGAGGAAGCTCTGTTCCGCAGAAAAAACGATAAATTTAGCGGGTAGGAATATTTTCAGGAATCTCCGATTCCTGAAAATCGAAATGAATTCACAGAATGAAACTGTATCAATTTCTTTTAATTCACCTATTTTTGCAGAGGCTATATTTAATAAATTACATTAAATATGTAATTAATAAGTTATATGTCTTACTGTTTGGTAATAAGGGACTCTTTTCACAGATATTTGTGTACTTTTTCCTTCTGGACGTTAGTCGTCTTATGAAATGGTTGATACGATCGTTGAAGCACATTGCTGGAAAGACAAACTTTAGGTAAAACTTCAATAACTTAACAGTGACCAAAAGAAATTAAGGAATGGTAGCATTCGTCTATTTTTTGCATTGCAGAAAAGATATATTGTCTCAAAAAGGAAAAAGTTTTCAAGAAGTAGCTGTACCAATTGTTTATCATTAGATGTCTAGTTTCAAACGAATTATAAATGTAAGCCTACAATATGTATATTGGTCGTTATATATTTTCAAATTTGCTAGAAAACTTTTCCAGGATTAAAGCGATTAATTTTTTTTTCAGGCAAGTGCGCACAAAGTTCGATTCCTTTCTGAATGAATCACGAATCTGTTGAAATAGCTTATCTTAATTAAATTTATTCGGCGTATGTATCACCTGATATATAAAGAATGTAACAGGAGACCAGGATAAGCGCTTCGTACCACTCGACACGTCCATCTCGAAGAGTCAATATCAGAAGGACAACCGTAAAGGCGTACGCCAACGTATCACGTGACACGGGCCACCACTCCAAGTTCAACACCTAGAATAAGATAGCGATAAGGGTGTCATGAGTGGTTGATAATCGAGAAGTAAGAAAATATTGCGTTGAAATGCGCCTCCGTATTTACCTGATTCGCGAACAGTGCGCAGCACGCTGGCACTGCCAATATGTTGAACACCGCCGAACCGACAATAGTGCCTACTCCCAAATCACCTTCCGTCACGAAGGTACCAATGACGTTGATGAACAATTCCGGACTGGAACTCGCAGCTGCCATTACGGTCGCGCCGGCCACATCCTCGGTGACTTTGAGCTCTGCCGAGATATTTCATTTCGTTTTATTCGACGGCGCGATACGTCGCGAGCGAAAAAGTAGAATAAACACTACGAGTAAAAGTAATCGAAAGAGAAGCGATATGACACACCAAACTGCACTGTCTTACATCCGTTATAACGAAATGAAGAGAGGAGCTACAGTGAGAGAACGATATTTACACGAGAAAACGATGCATTTTCTGAACAATCCTTTCGGTGTTCTAACAGTACTCACTCTCGCAAATTTTCTTAATAGAGGGAACGAAATAGTCGTCGCAGACAATGGCAAGTAATAAAAAGAGATAAATAGCGATGACGAAGTGGACAATTATAAATCCTGCCTGTCTTTGTTGTCGTGTAAGCCCGTCGGATGGGAACTCTTTGATAGTTGGTGGCGTACAGTTGTAACTGTCGTTTACTAGCTGTTCGAACTTGCTTGCTTGTAGCAATTTGCGCCCTCCTGAAAATATAAAATGAGCGTCGCTCGTGTGAATGGAAATGCAAGGGAAATAGACCGCGGAGGAAATCGCGGATGCATTTGACTGATAGATAAGAGATCGCGAACGATAATAGTCACGCGTCGAACATTACGCCATATCTGCACGCTTTATCTTGCTCGGAATACATTTACACAAATCAGGAGGATATTTAGTGAAATATGCAAAATATTCCTATATGTAAATCACATACAATGCATAGGCTGTCCCAAAAATATTGTACAATATTTTATAGCGTATTTTGGAGTTCAATTGAAATTGAAAATTTTTACACGAAAATGTTGAAGCAGCAATATGTTTTTCGAGTTACGTTACAAACAAATGAAAAATTAATTACTTTCTCGTAAACTTCAGGAAAAAATTATATTTTCAAACGAAAATTATATTTTTAACCGATTTCAAGTGAAGTATGTTTAACCAAAGTTCTAAGAGCTTAAAAATATATAATATTAAATTTTTTTTTTAATAAAAATTGTAATCTCTCAACATTTTCGTATTCAGATTTTTTACTTCAGATAAACCCCAGAAAATACTATTAAAGTATTGTATAATGGTTTTGTTGGGATATATCTTTTCTATAATAAAAATAAAAATATATATTCTTTTAGTTTGTATTAAATATGCCGTGGAAGAGCGAGTTGTAATTGTCATATTATTTTTTTTTACGTAACATACATTTCATTATAGCAAGTTCTTTTTAATGTTATTATGTAATCTTTCGATTCTTGCAGGTAATCTTTCAAGACTCGTCCGTCGCTCGCGTTTCAGCAGATGGACACCCGCACGAGCAGGAGAGAATCCGCGTTATACATAAATTACTTATATACTCACGCCAGTTTGCTGTGTTGCCCGTGCTGATCGAACTGTCAGGGAAAAGCCCCATCACACTGATGCAAAGGAAGTACATAGTCGGTATAGCTATAACGAAAAATATCCGATATCCGATCATATGTTTGTGCCGTTTTGCCATCTTTGTTTTATGTGAGAATTGACACGGGGGTGACTGTCGGGAAATTCTCAGAGGGGCTTCGTTCGCGCGTCTCTACAATAACACGTTTCCTTAAACGCCGTTTCTCGAAGCGACGCGACACGGAGCGGCTACCTGCCGTTTATCCGACACGCAGAGTTGGATTGACTACTTATATTTTTCGAAAATTATCTCGCAGCTCCGATAAGATATCACATACTCGTAAAGCAATCCCTACCTACGATTATCCACAGAAAAGTTTCCATTTTGCGATCAGGCATATTACGGCTTGTCTCGACTCGTCGTGATCTCTCGGCGATGAGTTAGATACACGATGAATCTTTCCGTTCCCGGCAAGTTTGCATTGCGTATCACGGCTGCACATTGCTATGCACGCAGGCAGGGAAAATGTACATCTCGCGAGTACACATTACGCTGTTACTTTTTTTTTCTCTCTTTATATCTATTTTCTTCCTCTGCATATGTCACATGGTACGCTTATCGTGCAAAGTTCCCTCGAGCATGCACTTGTTGATTAAAATTTATTTCTCTCGAGTCGAATGTGTCGTTACGTAGAATGGTATCATACACCTGCGTCCGATATCTCTGAGATCGCGCAGAAACGCACGTTTCCACTCTCGACTGACCCTCACTTTTTTCTTCTGGAAGTAATCATGTGTAGCGGGATTAGAAAGATCGGTTGTATCGGTTTTCCTTGTTTCATATATTTCTTCCGAAGAATCGTTGTCTATCGTAACTTTTATTATTTCAATACGACAAATAGTTGAGTTGCATGTGTGTATACAATTTAAACAAATCGCAAAATATTACATTTTTTAGAGTGTACTGTAAGATTGTTCTAAGAAACGTTATTTTGTGTGTGTGTAAATTTCGCGGCACTACATGACCGAATAGAGAGACGTTTAACTGTGATAAGAATTAACTCGGGCATATATAAGTCCGGCAACGAATGTTTAGATTATTATCGAGTTATTATGCGTATTATCTTTTCATATTAATTACGAACAGGGGAAAACGTTCAGTTCAATAGCTCTCGTTACAATACTCATCAATTCTTGGCGCTTATGTTCGCATTTTATCAAATATTAAGGTATGGGGGATTTATTAATTGTTTATTAATCTATTAATTATTACTTATTTATAAATGTCCACGTAAGAGAGCCAAAAATAGGCAAAGTGTTGACAACTGGACATTCCTCCCACAGCAAAACTAGTCATCACAGTGAATTCTTTATTTCTATTAAAATTAGATTAGATAACAGTATGTATATATATAGCATATCAAATATACAAGATCCCAAATAACATCATTTTGAAGGTGTTTAAAACGCGGGGAAAGTGTTCCAGGACGTCCTGAGTATTTTCAGGATGATCTCAAGGCATTCTGTGTTATCTGAGATCTCACTCAAGTATAAACTATTTTATAATTCCTGAACTTTCAAAGAGAAAGTGTATAAGTGTATAAGTGTAAAATAACTAGTTCGTGTCGCGATCGTTTTAAGAATGCGGAATTCTATGAAGATGCCTTCACAGTTTCCACAGTTGGTAGAACAAGAAACGGTTCGCAGAAATGTTTTTGTAACTTGCTATCGTGAGATCGAAATTGTTTTCCAAATAATAACACGATTCCGATTATATTTAATTGTTAACGTACCGATACAGGTGAACCGGTGCGAATGTAGAGGTCACAAGTCGAATCAAGCTAGACTAGACAGCAGAGCATGGCTCGGTGCGCCTGCACTGGTCGAATTAACGCACGTGAATGTGTAACATAATTTTAACGGGAGATTCCAGTCCAAACAATTTGTTAGAAGTTACATTCAATCGTTCGCCATTGCACTGCAACTAACGTAAACTACAAACTATATCAAAGCCGCTAAAATACAAACGCCACTCGCGGCGTGTTCTGTGACATAAACCGAATTATACATGTAGCATCGCAACATGATACATAAATTTGATGTGCAATATAATATCTGAATATTATTAATCAATATTAGTAACATGCAATCGATATTCGTCGATCCGTCTTGTGTAATATATATATATATGTACACGCGTTATACATGCGTCGTTCGGTGTAACTCGATCCTATGAAACTAAAGCAATCGCGTTAGACGAACACAAAAACATTCGCGTACATAGATAATGCCTATTGTGTGGAACAGATTTTATACGCGCGGTGACTTTTGGTTGAAAGAATATAGCTACAACGGTGCATGTGTGTGTCGTATCCTGTGAAAAAAATGAACATATGTAACCACAATCGGTAATTACCGCCGTTGCGATTCGTAATTTGCGTTTTGCATTTGCAGTTGTAAATTTTGGAAGACTCCGTCGTGCCTAAAGCTGCAAGAGCTTCACCTACATGCAGTACGGATTCAGCAACAGGCGCTACGTGCGAGAGAAGAGATAGAGGGAGGGGCGATTCCAACAAATGATGTCGGACTTCGGAGTAGATGTTAATGTAGTATGTGTGTGACAACGGGATTGACAACATGGATACGTCTGACCTAGGAGGAGGTGTGTTCGAATCTTATTTTCAATAATATCACCGGGACTACGTCGTGTTATAACAGTTTCGGACGAAGCAGAGACGGAGTGAAGCGTGCACGGGAAATATGTCGATCGCGAGAATCAGAGAAGGACGACGACGACGAGATTCGCGAGGAAATAAGAGAGAGAGAGAGAAAAAGAGAGAGAAAGAGAGAGAGGGAGGGAAAGAAAGAGCAGGGAAAAAGGGAGACGGCCGAAAAACCGTGGATTTGTCGAAATGTGCTTTCGCGTTTTCGCCACTTTGTTCACTTTGTCGACGGGAACGCGGCAGTCGCGCTGTGAAGAAACGGAATGTGCAAGTCCGGTAGGATGTTTAGTTATACATTTACGCATGGTGTTAAATCGTTGTTGTCGTCTCACAGCGAGAAGTCCCCAGCCGACGTGGTGCAGGAAGTGTGCCTAGACAGAGAAAAATAACACGTATATATAATTCCCTCTCTATTGCACGCGCGATATTCGTGATGTTAAACAATGAGCTAATAATGAATATTCAGATGTATATTTGTGTGCCACCGCTTTTCTTGCTCTTCTCCTTTCTTCTCTTCTTCCTTTATCTCTATCTTACATTTGCCAAATTCAGTTTTAATTTTGTCACTTGCCAAGCACCAAGCACAAGCTGATTACGCTTGGACACGATACTCCAAAAGCGCTTCTTATCTCTTCTCTTTTCGCGGAAATTCTAATAGCCTGATTTTGCTCACGAAGAATTGTTACAATTTCAAATGAATGTTTCGGCCTTATCTGCAAACAACACCTTTTTTGTAACCTGCATTTTGCGGCTCTTGTTTCGATTCCTCGTTTGATCTGAAAGCCGCAGATGACGTTAAACGAGATCTAAATCTCAGGACGTGTCTACAAAATGAGGAAACGGTACTAAGTGACTGTAAGAGTACACGTCCATTATACTAGACATCGAGTGTGAAAGGGTTAATCAACTCTCGCGCGAGCTCTCCTTTTGTAACTCTTAGAAGGTAAAATTTACGCGATGCGCTATAGGGAAGCAAACATGTAGTTTTCTGTATCCGCGAGAGCTGTTAAAGTGAGCATTGCGTGCTTGCGGTGCATTCTGCTTCTAAATGTCGTTGACGATATCGATAGCGACCTATTGACGGGAATTTTTAATAACATCGACTCGAAACGCGAAGGACACGAGCTTCATACGTTAGAGTTGCATTTTTCGCGCAAACATCCGAAACGTTTCACGAAAGCAGAATCTGAAAGACCCTTCGGCCTTCCAAATTTCTA